TAGCATCCCGCTCCTGTTGGTGCATGGACACATCAGAACTAGTTATTAACCGCATACATGCACACACACAGATGGCATGATGCGATTAGGACAATCCACTTGACGTCAACCTTGTGTCATTTCTGTTTTGTTTTTTTTTTCACCAGAAATATTATAAAACCAACTGACAAAACTCTTTATTTTTTGAAGGAAGAGAAGGCCTTTCTTCACTTTTTTGCAAATCTGTTTTCTAACATTTGACTGTAATCTGCATTATTTCAATGCATAATTACTGGATTTATTTTTAGAGGCCCTATGTTTGTCTTTCTTCCTCTCTATAACTTTTAATCTGTTCCCTTAAACTTAAAGTATGAGCTCATCCTACTTCAAATTCGATTTTGCTTTTACCGTACAGGGTGGCGGTTATACTGAAGTTTCTGTCTTATATACTGTTTGTTTACTTGTATACATACTGCAATCAGGGTAATAACATGCAAGCTAGTGGCTTTAAAGAAAAATATACCATCATTCAGTTTTATTGTTGCTCAAAAAGTGTTTTAAAAGTGATGCTTATGTTTGTGATAAACAAACTGTGCATCAAGAACAAAAACATTTATCTGGATAATGGGGTTGATAAGGAGAAGGGAGATAGGCCTTAATGTGGAGAAGCCTGGGTGCTGCTCTGTCCTCCCTACCTCACACTCTGCCTCTCCTGCTCTACCTCTGCTGCCATGTCTGCTTTCATCTCCAAGTTCTCACTGTAAAACACATTTCTGTAATCTAAAACCCCTGCTCTCTAAGTAAACGGTTAAAAAGTATTTCAGTAATGGATGGTTTGATCATTTGGCTCTACATTTAGCACTTGAGGTGTGACATGACACATCAACTGTTTGAGTGTTTTGCCATATTCTTTAATCGGTTAAATTACTTTATTAGATGTATTGGACATTATCCACACTGTTTAGAGCTGAAAAACCAGTAGTGTCTTTAGTTTCACTTTAATCTATGATTTTACATTCATAGGAATAACTCTGGAGCCAAAATCATTGTTTAATGTATCCATCTATGACCTTATGAATTTGCTGCTCACCGCTGCTTCAAGATCATACTGTAAAACATTCAAATGATTTCTGCCCCTCCCTTCCTTGATTAAGTAAAGATTCCCGAGTTGCTCTTTTATTGTGAAACATCTAATTTTAATTTGCATGAACTTTGTGAACTTCAGGGAAGTAAAATAAAAACATTATTTTAAATAATGTTTTTGAAATGGTGACAAAATAATGTGTGATATTTGGGAAGAAATCTGATTTTGTTTTATAAAACTTGTTATGCTTGTTACAGGTTGTTTCATGTATAAATCTGGCCTTAATTAGTGCCAAGAAGTACTTTTTTTGTACAAATGTACTCAGCAATAGTGTTATTGATTACATTTTGGGTGTTATTGATAAGGACTTCTCTACTGTGTCATGGCAGTGGACATCTGTTTGTATCCGTCTCAGATTAGGTCTGCGGAAAATATTTGATCAACAATAAAGATATGCAGTAGTAAAACGAATTGCCACTTTTTTAATGACTTTTTTTCAACATATGACTTTTTTTGTCAAAGCGATAATTTAATGACGGTCCCTATATAAAAGGCGAAGTCTCTGATGCGAGCTAACCATCTTCTGACTGGCGACAGTCTGTGAACCTGAGTAAATAATACTTAGATAAATGTGAAAAGGTTTTTATTTTGTTCCTTTTCTCGGACATTTAATATGTATATGTTTACATTTATCATGTAGACTTCTATACTCTTTTTACATCGTTTTCAGAGAACACATTACGATTTCAAATGAATCAGTCATGTTACAATTATATTAACGAGACCTTTGCGATGACCAATCACAGCCCACGAAGTTTTGGGTTCATCCAATCAGCTTCCCCCCGCCTCCAGGGTCACCCCCTTGGTCACAGTATTTATTTCTCGGACACACGCTGCGGGATTTATTGCACGAAGAACAGAGCAGGTCTTACAGTTTGATACTTAACAAACCAATAACATTTGCAAAGATGGTTGATGCTTTCTGTGGGACATGGAAACTGGTGGACAGCCAGAACTTTGATGAATACATGAAGGCACTTGGTAAGATAAGATCATTTATTTTTATATAAAAAAAGTTGATGAGTACAGTGAGCAAAGTTGTGATAATGGAATAGTAGTTTATACTTATAATATATATATCCTACATATCATTTCACTTTTTAGTATAGAATAGAAGTAACAAATAGTAGTTGTCATTGTCTATTAGTAAAGGCACTTATTTGTATTTTTCTTCTTACAGGTGTTGGTTTTGCCACCAGACAAGTGGGCAATGTCACCAAACCCACAGTGGTGATCGAACAGGATGGGGACAAAGTGGTGTTGAAAACTCAGAGCACCTTCAGGAACACTGAGGTCTCGGCCAAACTTGGAGAGGAGTTTGATGAGACCACACCTGATGACCGACATGTCAAAGTAAGAAAGAAATCAGGGTGTAGTCTTCACTCTAACATCATGTGTTCTGGCTGTAAATCCTCCTGAGATGGTTTTAACTATATTGTGCTTACTTGTGCTTGCAGTCTACCTTTTCCATGGAAGGAGACACATTTGTGCAAGTGCAAAAGTGGGACGGCAAGGAGACCAAATTTGTCAGAGAAATTAAGGATGGGAAGCTGGTGGCGGTAAGAATGACTTACACAAAACTTATTTTGATAAGTTAAGACAAACATGTTGTACTCATTGTGGGTTCATTTATCATTTTATGGAGCTTATGCTTATCTCAAGCACATTGAATTACCCTGTTGCTGATATGTGCTAAACAAATAAACATGACTTTGCAATGGTGTAATACATTATATCATATGACCTAAAGAAACATGAAACTTTGCATTAAAAGAAAAATATTTTTCTCTGCTTCACAGACTGTGACTTTCGAAGGAGTCCAGGCGGTTCGCATATATGAGAAAGCCTAACTTGACCACTTGATCGATCAACAAGGAGTTACCCCTTTTTAACAAACATGTTTTTATTTGTTTTTTAACAGTATGCAGTGATTTGCACTTGATTTGCTATTGTAACATGATATTAATATTATGGGCAAACTTTTGTAAGATCTTTTGTAAGAAATTCAGACTGTGAAGGGCCTAAAACAGTTCCAATCTGTGCATCACAAAAATAAACTGCTTTACTAAACCTTTATGTCTCAGACTTTTCATTTGGCTATGAACACTGTATCAGTGCCTCTTTATCTCACCAGAGCTAGCCTTTTCATTCAGGGTGTCGTTTTTTCATGCAACTTTGAATGTAGTCCCATTTTTTTTCAATTGGTCAACCTAAGTGGTGGGAACAGTGGTCTCCCTGTGATGGGTCAGTTCCAGGTGACAGCTGCAGGGTGATGGTGCGGGCCAGAGCTGTGTGACCATTGAACTCATGGGAATTAGTGTCCTCTAGTAACACCCAGATGGTCAGAGACGGCTGGGGGGGTGGGGGTGGTGATGTCACTCGGGATAATCCGGTTTTAGTTGTGGTGTCATTACGTAGAGGCATCATTCGATGGTGTGTGGACCAACCCTGGTTGAATGCTGCCGCTAGCATGACAGATGAGAGGCAGAACGTGCAAGGACACTGTCGGATGAGGAGTTTTATCAATATCCCACGGTTAGTAGTTCAGAGTCTAAAGTTAGAGTCTCACCACTAAATATTTCTGATCTCTGAGTGTTGGGCTTTACATCTTTCATGTAAACAAGAGGCCACTGTTTTAAAGCGTGTGTTAATTTTGAAGTTCCCTCATTAATCATCCATCTTTCCCACATTTTAAGAAGCCAAGTAAAGCCTCCCTGTCCTGTCCTGTGAGCTGTGTCTAGCCTACTGAATACTGTGACTACAAGTGGCCATTCTTCTCATCTCAAGGCAAAGGCTGCCAAGTTTTTGGCCACCTCTGAATAGCATGTGACACAAAGAAACCGTGGTAACTGGAGTGGAACTCATTGGCCTTGCCCACTGAATTAATCCCAATCAGAATCCGTCTTTATGCTCCACTCATAGTATGCCAAAAATTGCCTCTATTCTCACAGAACCAGGCAAAATCATTTGCATAAGTATTTGGGGTGAAAACAGTTCATGTGAGTTTAAGTAACAATTTTCACTGCAGCACAATCACACGGAAATGTTTTAAAAGGGAGATTATTACATTCCCATTTTGGAGAAACAGTAAGAGATAAAGTGTAGGTCCTTCTGTTCCTAGAAGAGCAAAGGGAGTTTTCTCCTAGTGTGAAATCTGTGTAAGCGGTGTAAACTGACCTGTAGTAACCTCTCTGGCCTCATTAAAGAATAGCGTGATAACCACCTGACCTACTATACTGCCTTCAGTTGGTACTCTTTCCTATTCAAACACACATCATACAGTCATCAAGGCCATACCAGGGTCATACCATTGAGAACATGGTCCATCATTTTTGTGGAAATATGGGGGCTTAAATTAGTTGAAGGGGGGATGGGGTTATATTCTATGATAACACAAGTAATGCATATGTTTTTTTTTCAGGCTTGGTGACATGACTCAATAAAAGGACTTAGCCAGACGGTATGGCGCTGCAATGTTCAGAGCAAGGCCTTTAAAAAGTAATAAAGTCATAGCATTATATGCAATATTTTTTTTATAGTAGATTATGTCACGAAACATCACTGTATTTGATGTCATAAGAAAGCCATAAAAAGTCACATTATGTCATAAAAACATCACAATGAGTAATTTTCTCAGACTTTAAAAAAGTTGTGAACACATTTATGAGACTAGAACAGCTGAAGTTTCTGCTTGAATATAACTGAATATTAAATAATATAAATATTTCATAGTTACATTTACTAATACATTTCATAATAAAATATTCATCAATCTAGTTTGAACACAAAAGGTATCTCCACATATTTTTGTCACCTAAGAAATAGGCTGGACTCACTGTGAAAGAGGTGTTGGCACCTTTATAGAAAGACAAACTACTTTTTTATTGCAAGGATTTAATGTCAAATTGGTACAATTCACAAGCATAAGGACGATGTAATTTTCCATTCATTTTACTATTTACAATTAGATTGTTTTCAATATATATGTAAGGTACCTTTTTAGCATCACAACTGAGAGACACATGTCAGTAATTGGTATCAAATGATACTAGAGTTCAAATGTTCTCAAATCTGGGAAAAAATACCACCAAACATTCATGAGCATGAAAAAAACCCATCATGCACATTTCATTCAATCAGACAAACAGACGGTGCTTTGATCAATGAGATCTTTAACAATGTATGTATTGCACATTTTCTTGGTTTAACAGAGTCTTCAAATGCAATTCAGTCAAAAGATTGAAACAAATATTCATCTTTTTTTCACCCTAAATCAAACGTCTTTTTTTTTTTACAATAGTAACTTTATCACCTAAAAAATACATATTCAAAGACAGTACACTCTGGTAACAAAGTCTAAATCTAAAACATCAGATAATCATCACCATGAAACTCCAGCTGTTACAGTACAGTTACTGGAGTCTGAGCTCACTGTGAACTGCAGAGGGTGCACCACAATAGAGACGGTTTATTCTAATAAATAAAAAATAATTACATTTACGTTTGATTCAACTTGGGATTAACGCCACAAACTGTGATGACGGCATATTGAACGAGCCGTATGTAAACAACATCTGGTGCACGCTGAAAAACAATGTACCCGTTTACATCTGAGATCAACTGCTCAAACATGTGACGCCATCTGCCTCAATCGTACGATTTCAAAAATGTAAATGTTGAATTTGTTACACTAGACTTCATCGTAACCACATTAACAAGCACCTTCAGGTTGTCAAATAAACCTGGAGGATAGCTGAGTCTCGCAGCTGTCTTGTCATAATTTTCTTCTTCAGATATTTCTAATACATGACTTGAAATCAATCGTAAATCATAACCCAAACTGTACATCACATGCACAATATATTCATAAATTATAATATGCAACAGCATCAGATATGCAATCATATAATTGTATGTTAAATACATAAACTGTGATGATACTTTCAAAGACTTTAAACCATCATGCTAGCATAATGTTTAATAAGCACCTGTTCAAAGGTTGCTAAATATATATATCATGTTTCTATGTTGTGCACACAGACACTGAACCAAGGGTCAGTGTGTTTTTGGTCTATCAAGGAATCGCTGTTAGCCACATCCTTCTTGACTGACAAAATAAATCCTCACATGTTCACTACTAATAATGTTCCAGCTTGTAAAACATATTATTTAAATTAAAATGCCTTAGATTAAGTATTCGAACAGTAAGCAGTTGGAAAAAACACAACTTTCTAACATAACATCCAACTAGTGAATGAATGCTTTACTTTGATATGAACTCTGACACTGCAGGCTATGCATTGCTTGATTTTAGATGTCAAAATGAGGAGCTGTGTGCACATGGTGGTAGTTTAATAAGACTTAGTAGGTAGTTTTTCCTCAGTACATTTGGGAGCTCTCATATACAGTGTGTGGTCATTCCTTTTGACACATAGTAGACATAGGAGACAGAAACAGAAACAACTTTCTTTCATTAGATAGAGGAATATGTGAGAAAATACATTTCTTTTTTAAATAACTGAAAAAAATGAATTGCGGAATTATGCACAGACAACACAAATGGCCAATTGTTTGTTCCAGGGCCTCAAGGCAAAAAAGGTGAGCATTAAAGACTCGCCATCTACAATGCAGTGAAGGAAAAAGACAATGACGGTGCGTAAAATGCATGATAACTGTACAAACCACTTTTCAAGTAAATGTGGGAATTGAACCCATGAAAATGCTCCTGTGGCCTTTTTGTACCCTGTGTACAGCACTATGTTCCTTCTTCAAAAAAATGCACAATTGTATTAGTTTGCTTGTGTTGCTGTGAGGATCTAAATGAATGATCCACAGAGGTAATAAACTATATTGTTCCATCATGATATCCACCTTTCAAAACAATTAAACACAGAAATAATCAATAAATAGAAATAAAAATGGAAAGGAATGACACTGGCTGCATGGAAAGAGAGCTCAACCAAATCTGGAAGTTAAATAAAATCGGTCTATCATATAAAATCTCTCGTCATCCTCTGCAGTCCAGGGTTATCTCCTGAAGACCAGCAGTGAGCAACCGTCTGCGTTTCAGCAGCGCCGGCAGGGCGTGACGGTGTCCGTGTCGTTATCAGTGAAATTGACTAAATTGTAAACCTCAGACTGGCTACAGACTGAAGTATCAAATCTGCATCGGTGAGAAGGCGTAGAAAGGAAACTGGGCCTCTTCCTCGTCCACGAAGAAACACTGGAAGTAGGGCTCTTCTGTGGGGGACAGGACAATATTTGACATTACAGTCAGGACACTGTGTCCCTCTCTGGCATCTGAACTGATAACTGAGCGTGCAATTTGCACACTTGTGTCACTTGTGTCACTTGTGTGACATTTTGGTTATGAGAGGAGAATTTGTACATACCTTCCATCTGAAAGCTGTCCGATAAAGAAGCCTCGGCTATCAAAATAAGAACACAATGTTAACCATATAACAGTACAATGTTACACTATCCTAAATAACAACTTCTCTGCACAGTACCTTTGATTTTCTCCTCCTTAGCCACTTTCTTCTCAGCAGCTTTTTCTACAACAAAAAGAGCATTTCATTGTTTGTGAATAAAGCTGCTGTAATGGAGATGTATTTCATACACTAATGATTGAGTGGCTTGACAAACAGTCGTACCTTTCTTTGCCGGCTCCTGTATCTCTTTAAGAACTCTGTCCTCTGTAAATAGCAACACAAGATGAATAACTTTTATTAGCAAAGATTTAAACCGCTTCCTGCAGAGTGACTGCAGCTGGTGATGGTATCACACATTTTGCTGAGTTGATGAGGTTAATGTTCAATACCAACCCAGTCTCACAAAAAAACGTGTAATAACTACGTTGGTCCACAACGTAGGACGTAGTATATCTACAAAAACGCCTCTGAAATTGTAAGATGCCTACGTTTTTTTTCACCATTCATTCCAATGGCTGGCTTCTATGTCACGTGATCTTCAAATTTCTCCCTGCAGAAAAAAAAACATGGCCGACCTTCGTTTTATTCTCGGTGTAAAATGCCTATTTTAAGGTTAGTTTGGTCATTAAAATGCGTTTTGATGTCATTTCATGCGAGAAATATGAGTTGTTATTTAAGATTATGTGTGCAGTGGGTGTACATGATCTTTAGTTTGCTAGTTATTACGAAGATTACTTCAGGAAATTGTGTCTATACAACGCTTTCATTGTTACCAAGATGGTTGCTAGGGACGCTGCTATCGATATTATTTCTGTTATGTTGTGTAAAATGGTGTTATCTTTATTGCTACCCCCTTCCCCGTCAATGTATAGTGTTGGTCCACAGTGCAAACGTATTAGTTATTAGCTAGACTTTTATTTAGCATCTCAAAACACATGTAAACAGCTTCATGCCCGGGAGGCGAAGACCGGCAGTCCGGCTCACTAAAATGTCCGTGCAGAACAATACCCTGACCTAACCCATAGATCCGTGGGTGAATAATGTCAATCACCACAATAGATACGTTATTTTCCGTTACCAACACCGTTATTAGTGTTGGTCCACTGCTTTTCTCTTTGAAAGTAATCACATAAAGGCATTGTAATACACGGTTCGGCTGCATTAAATGTTACATATCTGCTGTAGTTCTCTATTTATAGAGCCTTGATGAGACAAACATGATGAACTGGAAACGTGACATGGATCATAAATATATCAGTAATTAAACAACATCTTACATTTATTTTCACACAATACATCTCCTTGCAGTATCAACACTAATTCGGCTGACTTTTATATTTGATCCAATTGGTAGATAGGCTGTATTTACACCATAAACGTGCACACCTGATATAAAGGGACACCTAGTGGTTTAAGCATGTTATTGAATTTCATTATTTTTATTATTAGACATTAATAGAATCCCTATAAAGTATGTTCATTACTCGTTATTCTCTACTAATAGTTAATTAAAGACTGTATATAATGACTATTTTGCACATCCCTTTCAAGATTTTCTAAGGTTTATTGACATATTCACAAATGGTGTAGTTATGCAATGAATGTACAACTTTGTGTATACCTCCAGGAATGTTAACTATGTTGAAGCACTTATTTTAACTGATATTATACATATGTATTATACTCTTATAAGATGTAGATAGTATAAGAAATGTGCAGAATACGACAATTTAATGGTGGAGGTACACAAATATTGAAAGATGTCTTGTGATGCACTGTTGAGGAACCTGTGACCCAAGTTTTTCATCTCCGGCCTTGTCAGGTATTGAACAATCAATAAATAAAGAACAGAGAATTATTAAATATAAAACACAGAATTTGTGTGATTATACTAAATGATTTACAAATAAACACCACTGCATATGTACAACTATACACATGCTGATGTAACGCAAATGTTTCCAACTTGGGATCAATAAAGTATATCTTATCTTAAGCTGATCGATGGCTACTGCCAGATTTGCAAAATGTGCCTCTGAACCTTGACAAGTGCATGTTTCAGGCTTATCAATGAACAACAGGAGGGGTCACAGACATAAGACCAGCTGTTAAATAAAGCTCTTCTGACCTTAGCTGTCGTGTGGGTATATATTAATGCTGCCCATTGGGCACAAGCAATTTTCACCCATTTATTAATTATATTTTTTTAATTTGAGTGTTTCCTATCCCCTAAACCTCCAAAATCAAATCAAATCAAGTTTTATTTATATAGCACATTTATAAACGATTTTTGGTCGAGCCAAAGTGCTGTACATATAATAAAATTAGCCTACAGTAGAGACACTTTACAGCAAATACAACAGCACAGATTGTTCAGAATATCAGTATGAGAAAAACGACACCCTCTGTCCTCCAGGGATGTACACAGTTTAATACTGGCAACTTCTTATTATGGGAAATATGAAAACGTTTTTTAAAACTACAATTCCCAGTAGAGACGTGCCAGCATGTGTAGTTCTGGGAACGGGGTGGGGGAGGGGGGGACGCGGTGGACCCGTTCAAATCCAGTTTTGGACAGTCTGCCGTGGTCCCATCCGATTTCATGGGTATTGTTCTGCACGGACATTTTAGTGAGCCGGACTGCCGGTCTTCGCCTCCCGGGCATGAAGCTGTTTACATGTGTTTTGAGATGCTAAATAAAAGTCTAGCTAATAACTAATACGTTTGCACTGTGGACCAACACTATACATTGACGGGGAAGGGGGTAGCAATAAAGATAACACCATTTTACACAACATAACAGAAATAATATCGATAGCAGCGTCCCTAGCAACCATCTTGGTAACAATGAAAACGTATAGACACAATTTCCTGAAGTAATCTTCGTAATAACTAGCAAACTAAAGATCATGTACACCCACTGCACACATAATCTTAAATAACAACTCATATTTCTCGCATGAAATGACATCAAAACGCATTTTAATGACCAAACTAACCTTAAAATAGGCATTTTACACCGAGAATAAAACGAAGGTCGGCCATGTTTTTTTTTTCTGCAGGGAGAAATTTGAAGATCACGTGACATAGAAGCCAGCCATTGGAATGAATGGTGAAAAAAAACGTAGGCATCTTACAATTTCAGAGGCGTTTTTGTAGATATACTACGTCCTACGTTGTGGACCAACGTAGTTATTACACGTTTTTTTTGTGAGACTGGGTTGTCAATACTGAGTGCACAACAGTGTACCTTTAGCTTTCTCTTCTTTGGCGGCCTTCTTCTTTACAGTTTTTTCTAAAAAAGAATAATAATAATAACTCAAAATCGTTTTCATATTTGTCCATAAGTAGTCCACAAGTAGGTGTAGAGTAACATTTGTGTCAGTTTCTTAAAAATCAAGATACCTTTCTCTACAGGCTCTGGTTTTTCTTTACGAACTCTGTCTTCTGCAAAGTGTCACACATATTTTATAAATTAACAGCAAATATAGATGTATTGATGTAATCAACGCTATACTCAAAGCTATAGTTTTAGTACCTTTCTCTGTTGCGATGGGTTTGACTTGCTCTTTTAAAATGTCAAGCTCTGTCGCACAAATATAAAAGAAACATAAGCAGACAAGAAATGGATGATTTGAAATATAGTTTTCATTGCCCATCAGTATAAGTAAAACATTTTTGTATTGCTTGTTTAAGCCAGTGCAGCATCTATGCATGTGAGCTGTGGCTCATCTGCTTTATATGTTGTTGTGAAAAGACATGCATAAGATCCATGGCGAAGCGAAAGCTGAAAACATCAAGAAACATCTCGGTGTTGTTAAAACAGGATATTAAAAAGCATTACAAATGCCGTCTACTGCACAGTGAAAGAAAAGCTAAAATTACAGATGAATAGTTTCTTGCTGAATAAGAACATGTCCATAAATCTTAATTTTTACATTTCCTAGAAAGGACTATTTTGTATAAAGAGCTTTGAAGGACACTTTCACATTCAGCAGGACAATATTCTTAGCCTTCAGATAACACGTTGTTATTAGCCTACTGTAAAGGTTACATTGTTACATGGCGTGCTGCCTCTACTGAAACGTCACAAATGTACCTTTCCTCAAACGCAGCGCTCTGGCCTTTTCCCTAGAAATGGCTGTTTTATCAGGAAGAAAATGCAATTCATATAATATACAGCTACCAGTATTTATAGAGTTTCAGCACATTTATTAAACTATACAACCATAGCCTCATATCACCAAATTGACTCAGTATCCTTGCTCCATAATTAAATGTATCTAAATAATGGTAAAATATAACTGTTGTTATTGCACTTAACAACGTACCTTTCTCCAATTCAGCAAGTTTGTCCATTTCTTTAGATATGTCCAGTTCTGCAAAAGGGAAGCTTAGGTCAGACTCTGCCAAGTGGGACACATTACTTGTGAACGGAAGCTGCAATTCTCTCATTTTCCAGCAATTCAAAACAGCTGGAGCCGAAGCAGCATTACAACAACTAAATAATCACATTTAAAAATTTCTAAAAGCAGCTTGCAGAGCAAATCTAACTACGTTCAAAGGCTGTAGTTAGTGTTGAAAAAGTTCATCTCTGTTGAGCAGATAAACACCATTGTTTTGGAACATTTTGGGGTTTTTCAGTGTGATCTGAAACTTTGATGTGTGTTGGTTTGTCAAGTGTGATCCTTCTGGCTCTGAGTCTTTGCAATGCTTGTTAAATGTCATATATTTTTAGTGTCCGGATACATTCCAACATTTGTAACACATTGTTATATTTGGGTAGGTTGGATAGCATTTGTTTTGGATTCCCCACTCTTTATTTCCCACGTGTAAGAAGGCAAGAGTTATAAAAGCCTAACAAATCGAAGTGCTGTGCAGATTTACCAACTAAAAGTGTCTGAACTAGCATCCAGTATTCCTCAGGAGAAAAATCACTCTCCACCACCTCTGCATAATATTGATTTATTATGGATCTCATGCGTGTTTTTCTGCTGAGAAATCCAATCAGCTTTTACTACGACCTACATTTTGTAACTACATAACTGTTATTAGTCACTGGTTATGTGGACTACCCCTGAAGCACCACTAATGTACCTTTCTTTACATGGACTGGTTTGGCCCTTTTCCTCAACAATGCTGGGAGAAAATACAGTTAATACATTTTTGACAATGTTTGGCGTATACTTACATCAGATTAAAGGAAAGTGCCAAACTGACACAAATAGCTGATATCAACATTAAGTAATAAGTACACATATTTAAGTAGATAGAAGTCAATATTGTTGTTTCTGTACCTTTTCTTACAGCTGGTTTCACTTTGTCCTCTGGCACTTTGGGCTCTGAGTAAATACAAATGTAAGCATTTGTTGATTTGTATTAAGTAGCTGTCATTTAGTTTGATTATAGTTGCTGAAGTAACACTGCAATATTACATTATTAGCATTTAATTATATATTAGTAGATGATAACAATCATTCTTGTAAAGCTACAAAACAACCCCAGAAGATCTGTGCAGGGTCAGGAAAGTGGCGGACTACCTTTTTTCTTTAGAAGTGATTCCTTCTTTGTCGCAGCCTTTGATTCAAATTGAGCTAGTTCAATAAAAAATATGTTTAAATTGTAAGTAAATTAATAATTTGTAAATATCTATGACTTTGTTGTTGTTCAAATTAATGTACCTTTCTTCTCTTGAGCTGGTTTAGGTTTCTCCTTTGTAACCTCAGGTGCTAAGAGTCATGAAAATATAACATTTCTTAGGAAAAGTAATTATTTTACAGAATAAGTATTGGTTGTATTTAAGTTAACTGTTTTGGCAAAAAGTGCCTTGGCCTCAGGTTCTAACTAGGAAAATACTGAAATATATATATATTAGTGCTGTCAAAATTATCGCGTTAACGGCGGTAATTAATTTTTTGAATTAATTGCGTTAAAATATTTAACGCATTTAACGCATGTGCAGAATGGCCCGCCCCACACGTGCCACCAGTGGCAGCGCCAGGGTATGGCTGGGGTAGGCTACACCCATACCAAGAAATGGCTTAGCCCCACCATGAAAAATGATGTTAAAGTAAGCAAAATAAAGTCTGCCAACTCACGCGGAGTAAATTGCACAGACAGCAGTTAGTAAGATTGATTTCAGTAGCCACGGTTTTGAAAACTTTTGTCACGTAGTGATCGTCTTCTCAATAGAACATCTTTGATAACGGCGTGGTGTTGTTGCAGGAAGTCCGGACGGAGAATACTTTTGCTGTAGTACGGGGTGCACATAACTGGTACGCAGGTTATGTGCGTAATCTGAAATGCGTACCGTCACTTGTGTCACAAAGCGCATTTGCGTACCGACGTACTTGTGAAGCTTTTCCAGAAGGCGGTTAGATCACCGGACGACAGAGTCGGTCTCCGTGTGCACAGACAGGGCTGCTGTTAACGTCGGTCTGTACAACGGAATTGTGCCAAAACTACGCCAACCGGCTGCGGAGGGAGACTCCCCCCCCCTTCACAGGAGAACTGCGCTAAAACAGCTGATCACAACGTTCACACTCTGTGGTCACGAAGTACTCCACTAGCCGCCCCCCCCCCCCCTCTGTCGACTTTCCTGAAGTACTCCCCCGTTGATAGAAATCAACACGTAATTAATTAAGACCCCACGGTTTGATGATTGATAGGTGTGTGGGTTGTCTTTCATTTTGACACGCAGAAAAATGTTTTAATAAACATAGATACTGTATGTTAAATGGATATATCCGCCTTCTTTCATTTATCTTTCCATTCCCACAACAATATACATCAATAAATGGCATATTTTGGACATAGTTCGAATGGTGATTAATCATGATTAATTAATTTTAAAGCTGTGATTAATCTGATTAAAAATTGTAATCGTTTGACAGCCCTAATATATATATATATAGGCAAGGCAAGGCAAGTTTATTTATATAGCACCTTTCAACACAAGGCAATTCAAAGTGCTTTACAAAAAATGAAAGACATTAAGAAAATGGCATTTAAAATCAGTCATTAAAAAGAAAAGATAATAAAATAAACATTAAAAGAAAAAGTACATGGATAAAAGTTACAGTGCAGTTTAAGATGTGAATAGTTCAATTAAAAGCAGCTGCAAAAAGAAAAGTTTTCAGCCTGGATTTAAAAGTAGTCAGAGTTGCAGCGGACCTGCAGGTTTCTGGGAGTTTGTTCCAGATATTTGGAGCATAATAACTGAACGCTGCTTCTCCATGTTTAGTTCTGACTCTGGGGACAGAAAGCTGACCAGTCCCTGAAGACCTGAGAGATCTGGATGGTTCATCATTTAGCAGGAGGTCAGAAATGTATTTTGAGCCTAAACCATTCAAAACTTTATAAATATAATGTCTTGAAGATGGGATTGAAATGTTAGCTATTAACCATGACAACATTTATTCATTAGGCCTTTTCAATAATTTCTGCAACACAATGCTGCTTAGATAAAGCATCTAATATTTCTGCTTTAATAAAAACATCTTCAAAATATCAAGTTATCCGTCTGTTTAGGTAATCACACACATTAAAAAAACAAAACGGTCAGCTTATAGTGAAGCGTGTTGATTCAGATACAAGCCTATAGCCTAAACATAAACAAAAAAAACACGGCTCCACTAAAATAACAACACAATTGGGTAGCTTCCTCAACATTTCTTTAAAGTTATATTTTTGATGGTATTCTTATTTTGTTTTTAATCAGCAGCCTGTTAGTAGCTAGGAAGCACTAGAGAAACAAACTCCTGCCACATACCTCTCTTCTTTTCTGCAGGTTTTACTTTGATAGCAGGTGCTAGAGAAATATATAGCTCCGTTAATTCTAATGGGTAAAGTTAAATCATAAACTTAAAAGAGAGACACTTAATAATAAAGAGAAACACACCTGTGGTGGGGGTCACTGGCATGGCCTTCTTCTCCTTGAGAACCTCAACTTCTAGAGCAAATAACAAAGAAAATATGTATTTGCACATCTGTTATAAGCAGACTTTTAAAGAAAATTGTAGTGGTTAGCATTATGAAACATTTTTGTATATAAAAAGATGTACCTTTCTTCAGCGGCACCACTTTTGCCTTCTCCTTTGTTATTGAGACATTTTTGTGCGCTACTTCTGCTACTGTACGAAGAAATAAAATGCATTGCTAAATCCATTTTTTCTTTATTTGAACATAAACATTGATATGTGTCCTCTTACCTTTGACCACTGAGGCTGCTTTTGTCTTAAGTGGAGCAGGTTCTGTGTCAAAACATTTAAGATTTGTCATTCCACAAAATGAGAGGAAACACTCAAACGTTAAATATAAAAGACTGTCTTACCTTTCTTCTTAGGAGCTGATTTGGGCTTCTCTTTTGAAACCGCTGCTTCTAACGAAACACATGATGATCAGTTTGCAAAACCAAACCTCGATGTCAGGAACTTATAGTTTTTTGAAATGTTGCAAAATAACCTTACCTGTCACTGGAGAGACCGACTTGACTTTCTCTTTAGGTGCCTTGACTTCTGAAAACAAGAGAACAAAAACATGAGCATCGTTGACTCAACTCACTTAAACCTGGAAGAATCTGAGACAAATAACATATAAACCTAAATAATGTACCTTTTTTCATAGGCACTATTTTGACTCTCTGTTTCACCAGAGAGGCATTTCTTGGAGTGCCCTCTTGTTCTGTCGGCAGAAATGTGCAAATAAAATACATGCAGTAATGGCAGTAACACTTTCAGTTTGTTTATTATTTGTATTACCTTATAACATGCACAACTCTTACCTTTTTTCAAGCTGACTGGTTTGGACTTTTCTTTTGGAACAACAGCTTCTGTATGGTAAAAGTATCATGTTATTTTACAGCAGGAGAGTATGTACATTATGACAACTGAGAATTTCGTTTTTTGGTAAAGAAAACAATAATGTGGTATACCTTTCCTAGCAGGAGCTGCTTTGGCCTTTTCCTTTGGCACTTCTGTGTCACAAAAAGATAAGTGAGTGGAGGTTTGTGAACTGATAATCTGGTCATGTTAGTACCTTGAATCCTGCTATCAATCATAGGCGGATTTTTTTTGCATACAAGTGATTCAGCTATACAATAATTAGCAGTAATGGCTATGCGGCGATTTTTAAAACGTTTAAGGCGTCTACTTCTGCACTAAGTAGGACACTGGTTCATAATATTGTAGCGTGTTCAAGTAACCAAGGGATATAGTAGTTATCAAATAAGTATAATATGTGCACTTTACAGATGTAATGCACTGTTGTTGGGGGGAGAGACCGCCTCTTCCATATGCGTGTTTGTGTACGGCGGGCATGAGGCGTGCATGACGGGACGAGTTGTGTTCGTTCGTATGTGGAAAAGTCATACTCAGTGCGATGAACGCTGGCTTTATTGCTACTGTATCCGTAGCACTCCACGCAATAGTTGGGACTATGTACTGACGTCAGTAAAAAAGGTTTGCCCCCCCAAGCGCAAATGTCAAACTCCGCCAATTAGGCGCGTTCACACCAAGTACTTTTCCCACAAAGGTTTCTGAGAACTTAGTTCTGAGAACTCTTTTAGTTCTCATGAACTAAAGCAGATCGCGTTCACACCGAAATTAGTTCTGGGGGAGGATTCATGATTAGGCAAATGAAGCCGCTGACGTCACTTCTTCTTCTTCTGCTTTGGGTTTACTGGCAGGCCGCAAACCACTTCACGGCGTATACTGCCACCCGGAGTCCCCGGCCGGAAGTCTCCGGAATTGGGGACTGGCTTCAGTAGAAGCTGCTGGGACTCCCAGCAGCTGCTTACTGCCTTCCGAGTAAATCGCCGGAACGCCGACACCTCCTCATCTCCACCGCTCCCATGTTTTATTTTGTGTTGCCATAAGTTAGTCTCTCTGAGTTTGTGCGCTGGGCTAATGCTAATGCTAATGCTAATAATGCTAATGCGAGGATAATAAAATGGCGGCTTCACAAAACATTTTTGGAGTTTTACGGGGCGTGGTGGGCGTGGTTTGCAATCCGCCCAGCCAATCAGACATAGGAACCTTTTTCTCCCACGAAAGTCCCTGCTCTCTAGCAGGGACGGAAAAGGGGGTAAAAAAGGTTCTCTAGAACTAATTTAGTTCCTGGGGCTTTTTTGGTGTGAACGCAACTAAATCGAAGTTCTCAAGAACCTTTGTGGGAAAAGTAGGCCTATTTGGTGTGAACACGCCTATCAATGCTTCAAAAGACAACCATTACATTGTGGCAAATTCATAGTTACAATAGCATCAATCATATACCGATATATATATTTATATATATATATATATATATATCCAATGTAAGGAAGTCCAGCATTTCAGCTATTTGTACATTCCTCTCTGAGCGAGGCAGTTCCCAAAACGTTTTAAAATGCAACATTAGTGAGTCTTTGCATTACCTAGTTTTACAGATACAGATTTGACTTTTTCCTTTGGTTCCTTCTTGGGCTCCTTGGTAGCTGTTGAATTGAATGAAGTTAGTGACAGCAAATGACAAATATGCACAATTTCTTAGCATATTTTCATCTCGAATGGTCGAATTAAAGCTAAATGTTGCTTCACATTAAACATTTAAGCTATGCCACTGCAAATAAATGCAATTTGGGGTTAAGTATCTATTAAGGATACTTCTGCATGTTGACTGCGGGGTTGGGAGTTAAACGGTAACCCTCTGAGTTACAGATTAGCTCACTTACCCAATGAGCCAGAGCCGCCCCTTACAATGCCTTTTCATTTAAAGATAGAGCAGTATCTTATAGCCATGCTCGTGGTGTGGCTTTATGGCTTTGTGCATTACCTTTTTCTACAGGTTTAGGTTTGACTTGTTCCTTTGGCTCCTTCTTAGGTTCCTTGGGAAGAGCCGCTGCTGTAAAATTATGAGAACAACAAGCCTTTAGATTTTAAGTTTATATATATAAAAGTTGTATTTGATACTCTCTTCAAGTATATTCCATGTACATGTAAGCTATGCCACTGTAAATCTATATACAAGTATTAAAATACACGTAACCTGTTCTGAGATAGTTTATTACCTGCTTTTGTAACATCAAGTTGTTCCTTCTTCAGGACAGGAGCAGCCTCTTTCTTGATGACTTTAGTCACCTTTTCTGCCTTTTTTGGTTCAGCTTCTGAAATAAAAAGGCAAAGCTGGTTGAAAAGTTTAACATGAGTTATACAGTGGAAACAAATATACCCTTCAATGAAAAAAGTAAACCAAATATATTTCCAGTAGCGCTATCTTTGGGACCATCTATGAGCAATCTAGCTCTGTTATCTTTCAGCCATGCTCGTGGTGTGGCTTTATGGCTTTGCATCACCTTTTTCTACAGGTTTAGGTTTGACTTGTTCCTTTGGCTCCTTCTTAGGTTCCTTGGGAAGAGCCGCTGCTGTAAAATCATGAGACCAACAAGCCTTTAGATTTGAGGTTTTATTAAAAGATCAGTGTTTATTATTTGAAACTCTCTGCAAATGTATTACTTGTTATGTTTCCTACATAATATTACCTTTCTTTGCAGGTTCTGGTTTGGCTTTCACTTTAGGTACTTCTAATGTTGTCTATACACTTAACATGTAAGCTTTGTCACTGTAACAATCTATACCAACCACAAGGATAAAATGTCACTGTGAACTGTTATTGTACATACTGTATTTTCTCACCTGCTTTGGTAACATTAAGATGCTCCTTCTTCAAGAGAGACGCAACCTCCTTTTTGACTACTTTAATCCCCCTTACAGCCTTTTTGGGTCCAGCGTCTGAAATAAAAAGACAACATGAATTGAATCGATTCACATTGAATTATACAGTGGAAACAAATATAACACTCATTTAAAAAAGTTTTAGAAAATCTATTTCAAGTAGCGCTATCTTAGGGACTATCAATGAGTAATGAAAACTAGAAAGTACAATACTTTTTTAACAATGTAATGTCATGAACACTGCACCAGTATTTTAATAGTATCTTATGCATTACCTTTTTCTACAGGTTTAGGTTTGACTTGTTCCTTTGGTTCCTTCTTAGGTTCCTTGGGAAGTGCCGCTGCTGGAAAATCATGACACCAACAAAACTTTAGATTTTAGGCATATATATATATAAAAAAGTTTTATTTGAAACTCTCTTCAAATATATTCCTTTTATATTTCCTACATACAAATACCTTTCTTTGAAGGTTCTGGCTTGGCTTTCAATGTAGGTTCTTCAGCAACTTCTATTATTGGAGAATATTAAGAATTATAATGTATCACTTTATCATTGCCTAACATTAAAGATGTAAGCTATGCCACTGTAAATCCATACTATTTACAAGTATTAAAAGACACCGTGACCTGTTCTGAGATAGTTTATTACCTGCTTTTGTAACATCAAGTCGTTCCTTCTTCAGGACAGGAGCAGCCTCTTTCTTGACGACTTTAGTCACCTTTTCTGCCTTTTTGGGTTCAGCTTCTGAAATAAAAAGGCAAAGCTGGTTGAAAAGTTTCACATAAGTTATACAGTGGAAACAAATATACCCTTCATCGAAAAAAGCAAAACAAATCTATTTCCAGTAGCGCTATTTTTGAGACCATCTATGAGCAATCTAGCCTACCATGCTCATGGTGTGGCTTCATGGCTTTGCATTACCTTTTTCTACAGGTTTAGCTTTGACTTTTTCCTTTGGTTCCTTCTTAGGTTCCTTGGGAAGAGCCGCTGCTGCAAAAATCATGACACCTACACGCCTTTAGATTTTAGGTTTATAAAAAGATAAGTGATTATTATTTGAAACTATCTGAAAATATATCTATTTTTACGTTTCCTACACAAAAATACCTTTCTTTGCAGGTTCTGGCTTGGCTTTCACTTTAGATTCTTCAGGAACTTATTGGAGAATATTAGGAATGATAATTTATCACTTTATCCCAGCCTAGGATTAAACATGTAAACTATGCCACTGTAAATCCATACTATTTAGAAGTATTAAAAGACACGTGACCTGTTCTGACACTTCAAAAATCTATACTAACCACAAGGATAAAATATGACTGTGACCTGTTATTCTACATACTGTAGTTTATTACCTGCTTTTGTAACATCAAGTTGTTCCTTCTTCAGGACAGGAGCAGCCTCTTTCTTGACGACTTTAGTCACCTTTTCTGCCTTTTTGAGTTCAGCTTCTGAAATAAAAAGGCAAATATGGCTGAAAAGTTTCACATAAGTAATACAGTGGAAACAAATATACCCTTCATTGAAAAAAGTAAAACAAATGTATGCCCAGCAGCGCTATCGTAGGGACCATCTATGAGTAATGAAATCTAGAAAGTACAATACTTTTTTAACAATGTATTGTCATGAAACCTGCACCAGTATTATAATAGTATCTTCTAACCATCCTCGTGGTGTGGCTTTATGGTTTTGCATTACCTTTTTCTACAGGTTTAGGTTTGACTTTTTCCTTTGGTTCCTTCTTAGGTTCCTTGGGAAGAGCCGCTGCTGGAAAATCATGAGACCAACAAGCCTTTAGATTTTAGGTTTATAAAAAGACAAGTGTTTTTTATCTGAAACTCTCTGCAAATATATTACTTTTATGTTTCTTTCATAAAAATACCTTTCTTTGCAGGTTCTGTTTTTGCTCTCACTTTGGGTTCCTCTGGAACCTCTAGTATTTGAGAATTAAAAAATAAATAATGAATGAATTAATCCTGGCTTTACATTTAAAATGCAATCAATACCACTATAAAAATCTATACTAACCATCAGGTTAAAATATAACGTTGACCTGTAATAGTCCATACTGTATTTTCTCACCTGCTTTGGTAACATTAAGATGCTCCTTCTCTTGTTTGACTTCTTTAGTCACCTTTTCTGCCTTTTTGGGTCCAGCGTCTGAAATAAAAAGACAAATTGATAGAACCGATTCACATTGAATTATACAGTGGAAACAAATATAACACTCATTGAAAAAAGTTTTAGAAAATCTATTTCAAGTAGCGCTATCTTAGGGACCATCGATGAGTTATGAAAACTAGACAGTACAATACTTTTTTAACAATGTGTTGTCATGGAAACTGCACCAGTAATAGTATCTTATGCATTACCTTTTTCTACAGGTTTAGGTTTGACTTGTTCCTTTGGTTCTTTCTTAGGTTCCTTGGGAAGTGCCGCTGCTGGAAAATCATGAGACCAACAAGCCTTTAGATGTTAGGCATATCTATATATAAAAAAGGTTTATTTGAAACTCTTCAAATATATTCCTTTTATATTTCCTACATAAAAATACCTTTCTTTGCAGGTTCTGGCTTGGCTTTCAATGTAGGTTCTTCAGCAACTTCTATTATTGGAGAATATTAAGAATGATAATTTATCACTTTATCCTTGCCTAACATTAAAGATGTAAGCTATGCCACTGTAAATCCATACTATTTACAAGTATTAAAAGACACGTGACCTGTTCTGAGATAGTTTCTTACCTGCTTTTGTAACATCAAGTTGTTCCTTCTTCAGGACAGGAGCAGCCTCTTTCTTGATGACTTTAGTCACCTTTTCTGCCTTTTTGGGTTCAGCTTCTGAAATAAAAAGGCAACGCTGGTTGAAAAGTTTCACATAGGTTATACAGTGAAAACAAATATACCCGTCATTGAAAAAAGTAAAACAAATATTTTTCCAGTAGCGCTATCTTTGAGACCATCTATGAGCAATCTAGCTCTGTTATCTTTCAGCCATGATCATGGTGTGGCTTCATGGCTTTGCATCACCTTTTTCTACAGGTTTAGGTGTGACTTTTTCCTTTGGTTCCTTCTTAGGTTCTTTGGGAGGTGCCACTGCTGTAAAAATTATGACACCAACAAGCCTTTAGATTTGAGGTCTATAAAAAGACAAGTGTTTTTTATCTGAAACTCTCTGCAAATATATTACTTTTATGTTTCTTTCATAAAAATACCTTTCTTTGCAGGTTCTGTTTTTGCTCTCACTTTGGGTTCCTCTGGAACCTCTAGTATTTGAGAATTAAAAAATAAATAATTAATGAACTAATCCTGGCTTTACATTTAAAATGCAATCAATACCACTATTAAAATATATACTAACCAGCAGGATAAAATATAATGTTGACCTGTAATAGTCCATACTGTATTTTCTCACCTGCTTTGGTAACATTAAGATGCTCCTTCTCTTGTTTGACTTCTTTAGTCACCTTTTCTGCCTTTTTGGGTCCAGCGTCTGAAATAAAAAGACAAATTGATAGAACCGATTCACATTGAATTATACAGTGGAAACAAATATAACACTCATTGAAAAATGTTTTAGAAAATCTATTTCAAGTAGCGCTATCTTAGGGACTATCGATGAGTTATGAAAACTAGACAGTACAATACTTTTTTAACAATGTATTATCATGGAAAATGCACCAGTATTAGTATCTTATGCATTACCTTTTTCTACAGGTTTGACTTGTTCCTTTGGTTCTTTCTTAGGTTCCTTGGGAAGGGCCGCTGCTGGAAAATCATGAGACCAACAAGCCTTTAGATGTTAGGCATATCTATATATAAAAAAGGTTTATTTGAAACTCTCTTCAAATATATTCCTTTTATATTTCTATATAAAAATACCTTTCTTTGCAGGTTCTGGCTTGGCTTTCAATGTAGGTTCTTCAGCAACTTCTATTATTGGAGAATATTAAGAATGATAATTTATCACTTTATCCTTGCCTAACATTAAAGATGTAAGCTATGCCACTGTAAATCCATACTATTTACAAGTATTAAAAGACACGTGACCTGTTCTGAGATAGTTTCTTACCTGCTTTTGTAACATCAAGTTGTTCCTTCTTCAGGACAGGAGCAGCCTCTTTCTTGATGACTTTAGTCACCTTTTCTGCCTTTTTGGGTTCAGCTTCTGAAATAAGAAGGCAAATATGGTTGAAAAGTTTCACATAGGTTATACAGCAGAAACAAATATATCCGTCATTGAAAAAAGTAAAACAAATATATTTCCAGTAGCGCTATCTTTGAGACCATCTATGAGCAATCTAGCTCTGTTATCTTTCAGCCATGATCATGGTGTGGCTTCATGGCTTTGCATCACCTTTTTCTACAGGTTTAGGTGTGACTTTTTCGTTTGGTTCCTTCTTAGGTTCCTTGGGAGGTGCCACTGCCGTAAAAATTATGACACCAACAAGCCTTTAGATTTGAGGTCTATAAAAAGACAAGTGTTTTTTATCTGAAACTCTCTGCAAATATATTACTTTTATGTTTCTTTCATAAAAATACCTTTCTTTGCAGGTTCTGTTTTTGCTCTCACTTTGGGTTCCTCTGGAACCTCTAGTATTTGAGAATTAAAAAATAAATAATTAATGAACTAATCCTGGCTTTACATTTAAAATGCAATCAATACCACTATTAAAATATATACTAACCAGCAGGATAAAATATAATGTTGACCTGTAATAGTCCATACTGTATTTTCTCACCTGCTTTGGTAACATTAAGATGCTCCTTCTCTTGTTTGACTTCTTTAGTCACCTTTTCTGCCTTTTTGGGTCCAGCGTCTGAAATAAAAAGACAAATTGATAGAACCGATTCACATTGAATTATACAGTGGAAACAAATATAACACTCATTGAAAAATGTTTTAGAAAATCTATTTCAAGTAGCGCTATCTTAGGGACTATCGATGAGTTATGAAAACTAGACAGTACAATACTTTTTTAACAATGTGTTGTCATGGAAAATGCACCAGTATTATAATAGTATCTTATGCATTACCTTTTTCTACAGGTTTGACTTGTTCCTTTGGTTCTTTCTTAGGTTCCTTGGGAAGTGCCGCTGCTGGAAAATCATGAGACCAACAAGCCTTTAGATGTTAGGCATATCTATATATAAAAAAGGTTTATTTGAAACTCTCTTCAAATATATTCCTTTTATATTTATATATAAAAATACCTTTCTTTGCAGGTTCTGGCTTGGCTTTCAATGTAGGTTCTTCAGCAACTTCTATTATTGGAGAATATTAAGAATGATAATTTATCACTTTATCCTTGCCTAACATTAAAGATGTAAGCTATGCCACTGTAAATCCATACTATTTACAAGTATTAAAAGACACGTGACCTGTTCTGAGATAGTTTATTACCTGCTTTTGTAACATCAAGTTGTTCCTTCTTCAGGACAGGAGCAGCCTCTTTCTTGATGACTTTAGTCACCTTTTCTGCCTTTTTGAGTTCAGCTTCTGAAATAAAAAGGCAAATATGGTTGAAAAGTTTCACATAAGTAATACAGTGAAAACAAATATACCCTTCATTGAAAAAAGTAAAACAAATGTATTTCCAGTAGCGCTATCGTAGGGACCATCTATGAGCAATCTAGCCTACCATGCTCATGGTGTGGCTTTATGGATTTGCATTACCTTTTTCTACAGGTTTAGGTGTGACTTTTTCCTTTGGTTCCTTCTTAGGTTCCTTGGGAGGTGCCACTGCTGTAAAAATCATGAGACCAACAAGCCTTTAGATTTGAGGTCTATAAAAAGACAAGTGTTTTTTATCTGAAACTCTCTGCAAATATATTACTTTTATGTTTCTTTCATAAAAATACCTTTCTTTGCAGGTTCTGTTTTTGCTCTCACTTTGGGTTCCTCTGGAACCTCTAGTATTTGTGAATTAAAAAATAAATAATTAATGAACTAATCCTGGCTTTACATTTAAAATGCAATCAATACCACTATTAAAATATATACTAACCATCAGGATAAAATATAATGTTGACCTGTAATAGTCCATACTGTATTTTCTCACCTGCTTTGGTAACATTAAGATGCTCCTTCTTCAAGAGAGACGCAACCTCTTTTTTGACTTCTTTAGTCACCTTTTCTGCCTTTTTGGGTCCAGCGTCTGAAATAAAAAGACAAATTGATAGAACCGATTCACATTGAATTATACAGTGGAAACAAATATAACACTCATTGAAAAATGTTTTAGAAAATCTATTTCAAGTAGCGCTATCTTAGGGACCATCGATGAGTTATGAAAACTAGACAGTACAATACTTTTTTAACAATGTGTTGTCATGGAAACTGCACCAGTAATAGTATCTTATGCATTACCTTTTTCTACAGGTTTGACTTGTTCCTTTGGTTCTTTCTTAGGTTCCTTGGGAAGTGCCGCTGCTGGAAAATCATGAGACCAACAAGCCTTTAGATGTTAGGCATATCTATATATAAAAAAGGTTTATTTGAAACTCTCTTCAAATATATTCCTTTTATATTTCTATATAAAAATACCTTTCTTTGCAGGTTCTGGCTTGGCTTTCAATGTAGGTTCTTCAGCAACTTCTATTATTGGAGAATATTAAGAATGATAATTTATCACTTTATCCTTGCCTAACATTAAAGATGTAAGCTATGCCACTGTAAATCCATACTATTTACAAGTATTAAAAGACACGTAACCTGTTCTGAGATAGTTTATTACCTGCTTTTGTAACATCAATTTGTTCCTTCTTCAGGACAGGAGCAGCCTCTTTCTTGATAACTTTAGTCACCTTTTCTGCCTTTTTGGGTTCAGCTTCTGAAATAAAAAGGCAACGCTGGTTGAAAAGTTTCACATAGGTTATACAGTGAAAACAAATATACCCGTCATTGAAAAAAGTAAAACAAATATTTTTCCAGTAGCGCTATCTTTGAGACCATCTATGAGCAATCTAGCTCTGTTATCTTTTAGCCATGCTCATGGTGTGGCTTCATGGCTTTGCATTACCTTTTTCTACAGGTTTAGGTGTGACTTTTTCCTTTGGTTCCTTCTTAGGTTCCTTGGGAGGTGCCACTGTTGTACAAATTATGACATCAACAAGCCTTTAGATTTGAGGTCTATAAAAAGACAAGTGTTTTTTATCTGAAACTCTCTGCAAATATATTACTTTTTAGATTCCTACATACAATTACCTTTCTTTGCAGGTTCTGCTTTGGCTTTCACTTTGGGTTCCTCTGGAACCTCTAGTATTTGAGAATTAAAAAATATATAATGAATGAAATAATCCTGGCTTTACATTTAAAATGCGATCAATACCACTACAAAAATCTATACTAAACATCAGGATACAATATGACTGTGACCTGTTATTCTACATTCTGTATTTTGTTACCTGCTTTTGTAACATCAAGTCGTTCCTTCTTCAGGACAGGAGCAGCCTCTTTCGTGATGACTTTAGTCACCTTTTCTGCCTTTTTTGGTTCATCGTCTGAAATAAAAAGGCAAAGCTGGTTGAAAAGTTTAACATGAGTTATACAGTGGAAACAAATATACCCTCATTGAAAAAAGTAAAACAAATCTATATCCGGTAGCGCTATCTTTGGGACCATATGAGTAATTTAGCTCTATTATCTTTCAGCCATGATCATGGTGTGACTTCATGGCTTTGCATCACCTTTTTCTACAGGTTTAGGTTTGACTTTTTCCTTTGTTTCCTTCTTAGGTTCCTTGGGAAGTGCAGCTGCTGTAAAATCATGAGACCAACAAGTCTTTAGATTTTAGGTTTATACAAAGATAGTGTTTTTTATCTGAAACTCTCTGCAAATATATTACTTTTATGTTTCCTAAGATATAGAAATACCTTTTTCTGCAGGTTCTGGTTTGGCTTTCACTTTAGGTTCTTCTGGAACCTCTAGTATTTGGAGAATATTAAGAAATATAATTTATCAGCTTAACCTGGCCTAACATTAAACATGTAAGCTATGCCACTGTAAATCCATGGCTTTTTCTACAGGTTTAGGTTTGACATTTTCCTTTGGCTCCTTTTTCGGTTCCTTGCTAAGTGCCACTGCTGTAAAATCATGACACCAACAAGCTTTTACATAGGTTTCATACAAATTTAAATATGTAAGCTATGCCACTGTAAATCTATATACAAGTATTAAAAGACACGTGAGACCTGTTCTGAGATAGTTTCTTACCTGCTTTTGTAACATCAAGTCGTTCCTTCTTCAGGACAGGAGCAGCCTCTTTCTTGATGACTTTAGTCACCTTTTCTGCCTTTTTGGGTTCAGCTTCTGAAATAAAAAGGCAAAGCTGATTGAAAAGTTTCACATAAGTAACACAGTAGAAACAAATATACCCTTCATTGAAAAAAGTACAACAAATATTTTTCCAGTAGCGCTATCTTTGAGACCATCTATGAGCAATCTAGCTCTGTTATCTTTTAGCCATGCTCATGGTGTGGCTTCATGGCTTTGCATTACCTTTTTCTACAGGTTTAGGTGTGACTTTTTCCTTTGGTTCCTTCTTAGGTTCCTTGGGAGGTGCCACTGCTGGAAAATCATGAGACCAACAAGCCTTTAGATTTTAGGTTTATAAAAAACAAACATTTTATTTGAAATTCTCTGCAAATATATTCCTTTTATATTTCTACATAAAAATACCTTTCTTTGCAGGTTCTGGTTTGGCTTTCAATTCAGGTTCCTCAGCAACTTCTATTATTGGAGAATATTAGGAATGATAATTTATCACTTTATCCTTGCCTTGCATTAAACATGTAAGCTATGCCACTGTAAATCGATACTATTTAGAAGTATTAAAAGACAACGTGACCTGTTTTGACACTTCAAAAATCTATACTAACCACAAGGATAAAATATGACTGTGACCTGTTATTCTACATACTGTAGTTTATTACCTGCTTTTGTAACATCAAGTTGTTCCTTCTTCAGGACAGGAGCAGCCTCTTTCTTGATGACTTTAGTCACCTTTTCTGCCTTTTTGGGTTCAGCTTCTGAAATAAAAAGGCAAAGCTGGTTGAAAAGATTCACATAAGTTATACAGTGGAAACAAATATACCCTTCATCGAAAAAAGTTAAAAACATCTATTTCCAGTAGCGCTATCTTTGAGACCATCTATGAGCAATCTAGCTCTATTATCTTTTAGCCATGATCATGGTGTGGCTTCATGGCTTTGCATTACCTTTTTCTACAGGTTTAGGTGTGACTTTTTCCTTTGATTCCTTCTTAGGTTCCTTGGGAGGTGCCACTGCTGGAAAATCATGAGACCAACACGCTTTTAGATTTATAAAAGGATATGTGTTTTTTATCTGAAACTCTCTGCAAAGTATGTATGTTATACATAACAATACCTTTCTTTGCAGGTTCTGGCTTGGCTTTCACTTTGGGTTCCTCTGGAAACTCTAGTATTTGAGAATTTAACAAAATATAATGAATGAACTAATCCTGGCTTTACATTTAAAATGCAATCAATACCACTACAAAAATCTATACTAACCACAAGGATACATTATCACTGTGAGCAGTTATAGTCCATACTGTATTTTCTCACCTGCTTTGGTAACATTAAGATGCTCCTTCTTCAAGAGAGACGCAACCTCCTTTTTGACTATTTGAATCCCCCTTACAGCCTTTTTGGGTCCAGCGTCTGAAATAAAAAGGCACAGCTGGTTAAAAACTCTCACATAAGTTATACTGCGGAAACAAATATACCCTTCATTGAAAAAAGTTTTTAAAAATGTATTTCCAGTAGCCCTATCTTTGGGTCCATCTATGATAACTGTAGCTATTATCTTTTAGCCATGCTTGCGTCATGGCTTTATGGCTTTGCATTACCTTTTTCTACAGGTTTAGGTTTTAATTGTTCCTTTGGTTCCTTCTTAGGTTCCTTGGGAAGTGCAGCTGCTGTAACATTATGAGACCAATAAGCCTTTACATTTTAGGTTTATAAAAGGATAAGTGTTTATTATCTGAAACTCTCTGTAAATATATTCCTTTTATATTTCGTTCATAAAAATACCTTTCTTTTCAGGTTCTGGTTTTGCTTTCACTCTGGGTACTTCTGGAACCTCTAGTATTTGAGAATTTTTAAATATATATAATGAATGAACTAATCTTGTCTTTACACTTAACATGTAAGCTTTGTCACTGCACAAATCTATACTAACCACAGGGATAAAATAATCACTGTGACCTATTATTCTACAGACTGTATTTTCTCACCTGCTTTTGTAACATTAAGATGCTCCTTCTTCAAGAGAGACGCAACCTCCTTTTTGACTACTTTAATCCCGCTTACCGCCTTTTTGGGTTCAGCATCTGAAATATAATGGCAAAGCTGATTCAACAGTTTTACATACATTTTAGAATGGAAACAAACTTACCCTTTATTTTACAAGGAAACCTATCAATCTATTTAACCTTGAAGATACTTAGCACATCAAGTGCCTACAAATATTGTATTGCCATTAAAACTTTTGTAACATTAAGATGCTCCTTCTTCAAGAGAGACGCAACCTCCCTTTTGACTACTTTAATCGCCCTTACAGCCTTTATGGGTCCAGCGTCTGAAATAAAACGCCAAAGATGATTGAACAGTTTCACATTGTGGAAACAAATATACCCTTCATTAATACATCTATTTCTAGCAGCACTATCTTTAGGACCATGAGTTATGAAATCTAGAAAGTACAATACTTTTTTAACAATGTATTGTCATGAAAAATCCACCAAAATTACAATAGTATCTTTTAGCCATGCTCATGGTGTGGCTTCATGGCTTTGTATTACCTTTTTCTACAGGTTTAGGTTTGACTTGTTCCTTTGGTTCCTTCTTAGGTTCCTTGGGAAGAGCTGCTGCTGTAAAAATCATGAGACCAACAAGCCTTTAGATTTGAGGTTTTATTAAAAGATCAGTGTTTATTATTTGAAACTCTCTGCAAATATATTATTTGTTATGTTTCCTACATAATATTACCTTTCTTTGCAGGTTCTGGCTTGGATTTTCCTTTAGGTACTTGACGAACCTCTAATGTTGGAGAATTAAAACATAATTAATTTGCTAATTTTGGCTTTACATTTAACATGTAAGCTTTTTTACTGCAAACATCTATACTGTACATCTAACCACAAAGACAACATATCACTGTGACCTGTCATTGTACAGACTGTATTTTCTCACCTGATTTTGTAACATTAAGATGCTCCTTCTTCAAGAGAGACGCAACCTCCTTTTTGACTACTTTAATCCCGCTTACCGCCTTTTTGGGTTCAGCATCTGAAATATAATGGCAAAGCTGATTCAACAGTTTTACATACATTTTAGAATGGAAACAAACTTACCCTTTATTTTACAAGGAAACCTATCAATCTATTTAACCTTGAAGATACTTAGCACATCAAGTGCCTACAAATATTGTATTGCCATTAAAACTGTACATGGATCATAAAAGTATATTTACTCATGGTTCCACTGTGCTTCTATGGATGGCTTTAATACAAAGCCATCCATAGAAGCACAGTGGAAACATCACAACTAAACCTGTAAAACCAGGTAATACACCTGGTTTTACAGGTTTAGTTGTGATGTTTTCCTTTGCTTCCTTCTTGGACTCCTTGGGAGCTGCCACTGGGGGAAAATTACGACATAATAAGCCCTTAAATTTCATTATGTTTATCTTAACCAAAAAAAGAAAAGCAATTCATTTAGCCTCCTCAGTTGACCTATCTTTTGACCCTCTACAAATACCTGTAAGATTACTTGAATTCCTATCAGCTTCATCAAATCTTTGTGCATGGTAGTAATTAGCATATGCAATCATGTTGAACTAAGATGGTAAAAATAGTGAACGGTATCCTTTTAAAACAATAAACTTGAAGTATTTTCACGGCGATCAGAATTGGCATAATGATGTGAGCATTTCACCTAAAGCATTGCCATGTTGTATAGCTGGACAGAGCGGTTAGCATGGCTGTATATTCTTGGTATTGGATCGTCAACAGATCCTTATTTTGAATAATAATAATAAAAACATTACATTGCAAGACTATGCCTACCTTTCTTAGTGTCTCTCTTCTTGATGGGTTCTTTGTCTCTAAGTGGCCTCTTGGTTTCCTTTTCTTTTTTAGAAGGCTTTGTTGGTTCTGTTTCTTCCTTAGAGATCTTCTTTGGTTCCTTTTCTTCTGTGAGAATAACCTTGACCTCTTTTTCGTCTTTAGAAGGTTTCTCTGGTTCAGGTTTTTCTTCAGAGGGCTTCATTGGTACTGCCCTTTCTTTGGAAGGACTTGCTTCCTTTTCCTTCTCCTTCAACTCCTTAGAGATCTGTTCTGGTTCTTCTTTTGCAGGCTTAGTTATGGCAGTCATTGGTCTTAGTTCCTCCTTCTCGTCTTTGAGAAGCTTTTTGACCTCTTTTACTTTTTTAGGTGGTTCCTTCACTTCTGTCTCTTCTTTAGAACGTTTCTCTTCTTTGAGAGTTATTTTCATGGCTTTCTCTTCCTTAGGATGTTTCTTCTCTTCCCTTCCTTCTCTCAGTGGTTTCTTCTCCTCTTTCTGTTCTTTGGATGGCTTTGTGACTTCTATCTTCTTTGTAGATGGTTTCTTTACCTCTTTGTCTTCTTTAGGTATTTTCTTGACTTCTTTCTCTTTAGAAGCTTCCTTGACTTCCTTCTCTTCGTTGGATGGTTTTGTTTCTGCTTTCTTTTCTTTAAGAAGTTTCCAGACTTCTATTTTCTCTCGGGATGGTTTACCGATTTTCTCGTCTTCCTTAGATGGTTTCTTGAATGCTATACCTACTGCAATAGATGTATTAAATGCTTTCTCGTCTTTAAGAGGTGTTTCTGCTTCTTTCTCCTTTTTAGACAGTTTTCTCACTTCCTTGTCTTCTTTAGATGATTTCTCAGTTTCTTTTACTTTTTTGGATGGTTTCTTGTCTTCTTTATCTTCTCGGGATAGCTTACCAACTTTCTCGTCTGCCTTAGATGGTTTCTTGAATGCTATACCTACTGCAATAGATTTATTAAATGCTTTCTCGTCTTTAAGAGGTGTTTCTGCTTCTTTCTCATCTTTGGAGGTTTGTTTTACTTCTTTCTCTTTAGATGGTTTCTTGACCTTTTCCTCTTCTTTGGATGGTTTTGTTTCTGCTTTCTTTTCTTTCAGAAGTTTCCAGACTTCTATTTTCTCTCGGGATGGTTTACTGACTTTCTCGTCTTCCTTGGATGGTTTCGTGACTGTCTTGTCTTCTTTTGATGGTTTCGTGACTGTCTTGTCTTCTTTGAGAGGTTTCATGACTGTCTTGTCTTCTTTGGATGGTTTCGTGACTGTCTTGTCTTCTTTGGATGGTTTCGTGACTGTCTTGTCTTCTTTTGATGGTTTCATGACTGTCTTGTCTTCTTTTGATGGTTTCGTGACTGTCTTGTCTTCTTTGAGAGGTTTCATGACTGTCTTGTCTTCTTTGGATGGTTTCGTGACTGTCTTGTCTTCTTTTGATGGTTTCGTGACTGTCTTGTCTTCTTTGGATGGTTTCGTGACTGTCTTGTCTTCTTTGGATGGTTTCGTGACTGTCTTGTCTTCTTTGGATGGTTTCGTGACTGTCTTGTCTTCTTTGAGAGGTTTCGTGACTGTCTTGTCTTCTTTGGATGGTTTCGTGACTGTCTTGTCTTCTTTTGATGGTTTCGTGACTGTCTTGTCTTCTTTGGATGGTTTCGTGACTGTCTTGTCTTCTTTGGATGGTTTCGTGACTGTCTTGTCTTCTTTTGATGGTTTCGTGACTGTCTTGTCTTCTTTGAGAGGTTTCTTGGACTCTTTGTCTTCTTTTGGTTGTTTCTTGACTTCCTTGTCTTCTTTGGATGGTTTATTGACTTCTTTGTCTTCTTGGAGAAGTTTCTTGGACTCTTTGTCTTCTTTTGGTTGCTTCTTGACTTCCTTGTCTTCTTTGGATGGTTTATTGACTTCTTTTTCTTCTCTAGATAGTTTCTTAACTTCTTTCCCTTCTTTAATAGGTTTATCGACTATTTTTTCTTCTTTAGACATTTTCTTGATGTCTTTCTCTTCTGAGAGAGATTTATTGGACTCTTTGTCTTCTTTTGGTTGCTTCTTGACTTCTTTGTCTTCTTTTAGAGGTTGTATGGCCTCTTTGTCTTCTTTGGGAGCTTTCTTTGCTTCTTTATCTTCTTTAGATGGCTTTGTGACTACTCTCTCTTCCTTAGATGGTTTATTGACTTCTCTCTCTTCTTTGAGAGATGTCTTGTCGTCTCTAGATGGTTTCTTGACTTCTTTGTCTTCTTTGAGAGATGTCTTGTCTTCTCTAGATGGTTTCTTGACTTCTCTCTCTTCTTTGAGAGATGTCTTGTCGTCTCTAGATGGTTTCTTGACTTCTTTGTCTTCTTTGAGAGATGTCTTGTCTTCTCTAGATGGTTTCTTGACTTCTCTCTCTTCTTTGAGAGATGTCTTGTCTTCTCTAGATGGTTTCTTGACTTCTCTCTCTTCTTTGAGAGATGTCTTGTCGTCTCTAGATGGTTTCTTGACTTCTCTCTCTTCTTTGAGAGATGTCTTGTCGTCTCTAGATGGTTTCTTGACCTCTTTATCTTCTTTAAGTTGTTTCTTGACTTCTTTGTCTTCTTTAAGTTGTTTCTTGACTTCTTTGTCTTCTTTAGACGGTGTCTTGACTTCTTTTTCTTCTGCCAGATGTTTCTTGACTTCTTTGTCTTTTTTGAGTGGCTTCTTCACTTCTTTGTCGTCTTTGATAGGTTTTATGACCTCTTTTACTTCTTTTGGAGGTTTCTTAGCTTCTTTATCTTCTTCTGGATGTTTCTTGGCTTTCTCTTGTTTGGATGGTTTCTTGTCGTCTACATCTTCTTTGAGATGTTTCATGACTTCTTTCTCTTCTTTGAGATGTTTCTCATCATCTTTCTCTTCTTTGAGATGTTTCTTGACTTCTTTCTCTAATTTAAGAGATGTCTTGTCTTCCTTCTTTTCTTCGAGAAGTTTCTTGACTTCCTTTTCTTCTTTGGGTGGTGTTTCCACATCTGTTTTTTCTTCAGAGGGGTTTGTCACTGATGACTTCTGTTCAGGCTTTAGTGTTTCTTTCTTCTCCTCTGAAGGCCTCCTGACTTCTCCCTCTTCTTTGGATGGTTTCTTAGGTTCTTCCTCCTTTTTAGACTCTTCTTCTAAAAACAAGCATACACGAGTCAGTTTTGTAGGTACTCAAAGCTGAATGTAACATTACTCAAAGTGGAACAGGGACAAAGTACCCAAAACGGTTTGTAGTCCTGAAAACAATTTTGTTTTGTGAAATATGTACAAGTGGTTTACACATGCTTTTCATTTGGTCCTCTGTGGCATATGCAGCTTATTGGAATAGTGCAACATATAAAACATTATGAAGCTGCATTCTCTTGTGGACATACTTAATATTTAGACATATACTCTTAAAGGTAACAATATTTTGTTTCATTAAGTGTATTTACCTTTGGGCGTTGGTGGTTCCTTTTCAAGGGGTTTGGTCACCTCCTTTGGCTTTTCTTCTTTTAGTTTCATCTCAATAGTTTCCTCAAGTTTGTCTTCCTCAACTGTTTTCTCCTCTTTATCAGTTTCGGTGGCTGGGAGTTCTGTAAGCAACAAGAGTTATTCATAAGCAGAACTATAAGGTGCTTTAGTGCATAGAGTATGTTCTGGTGTTTGCTAAATTAGACCAAATCAATACATTCAATTAGAACATTCTGAAATGTTAAAGTCATGTTGGAATGAAGTAAACTGAAGAAGGTGCACAATTTCAAGATTATTACCTTTAATAACGAATTGTGTCAAATTATATACTGTAGTACTTCAATTCTGACCAGTAGTCGGTGTTAGAAACTCAACACGTTTTAACAATTAATCTTGCTTGCATAATCACTATATATATATATATATATATATATATATATATATATATATATATATATATATATTATATTGATAATTGATCAGACCTACATTTTTAAGGTGCAGAGATCTACAACAAAGTCATAATAACTTGTTTTTCAGTTATCAATATCATTTGATATTTGGCTCTGGAACACTCTGCCCCTCCATGTGAGGTCGGCCCAGACCCTAGGGGTTTTTAAATCTACTCTTAAGACACACTTCTTCTCCCTGGCCTTCTAGTCAGAGCGGAGCATGACTCCTGACTTTTCCCCGTGTTTTTTATATCTGTTCTAATTTATTGTGATTGTAGTAATGTGTTTTTATTACATGTACTGTACAGCACTTTGGCTCGACCAAACATCGCTTTTAAATGTGCTTTATAAATAAAACTTGATTTGATTTGACACATCATTCAGTGTGAATGAAAGATGACATGCTATATTTGAGTTTTTTCTTGTCCTAATGGAGAATCATATACATGAAGCTGCATAATGGCTCACTGCCTAAGGCATGTACAGTTTGGTCTAATGCAGGAACAGTTAAGTACACAATTAGCACCTTAGGAAATAGATTTGTAGTTACTGAGCCATCAAAAAGAAAATAGCACAGTTATAGAAGCACTGTACTGTATTAGTCACAAGATCCTCTTTCCGTTGAGCTATTCACACCATAGTCAAGATGAGCTTCTGATCTAAATAAAACCTCAAATTATCTGGTCAGTCCATGTTTATTTGCTTTTTAAATAAAAATGTGTTGAATAACAACACTTTGGGAAATGTGCTCATCTTTCTTGTCAGATTAGAAGATCAATATCAGTTTAATTCCTGGGTGTCAAGTCCAAAGATTTGTCAAGTACAACAATTCATGAATGAAAATGAAATAGGCACAGCAAAGTAAAATATTAATGTATTATTGTACCAGAGCATTCATTGTAAGCCAAGAGGATGAAGACTAGACTCAAAGCTTTATTTAGAGGCTTCGCTATAACACAGTCATTGCAAAGACATTAGTTTGATTAGAGCATCCCAATTTGGCGACGTAAATGGAGTTCAATATAGTGTCTTGGTGCCACATGTTGGTGTCACATGTTGGTGTTTTTAGCCCTGGTTTGTTTAAAATAAGGCACCATTAATAGTATGCCATCTATACATTTTGCTGAGTATCTTTCAGTAGTTCCTGTTTGCAATGTGACCTGTGGTTATACTGACTCAGAAAATGAAAAACTTTGTTCTGGCTTCTTCGTAGCCATAAATTAGCAAGTCTTGCTATTTATCCGATGTACCTTCTCCTCTGATTCTCAGTAAAACAACAAACATGAGTAATTCCTAAAATATGTTTCTCTAATCTTTAATGAAAAAAAGTTTTATGTGAAAGTTACTCAGTCGGCCTGAAGCCTCGATTAACACAAAAATAAATGAATCGAGTCTCGTCACAACCAAGTGGTCCCTTAAAAACATGTTAATATTCACACATATTATTTATCATTAGTAACAAACTCATCATTCAGAATCATTTTCATGAGCTGATAATGAAAATGGACTGGTGAAATACATGTGATGATAAAGATGAGAGTGTTGTACCTTTCTCATCTTCAAGGCGTTCTTCTTTGTGAGCCGCTTTGGATCCGGCTCTTCGGAGCCTCTCAAAGGGAATATGAACCTTCCTCCTACGTTTGAGTTCAGTTTTCCCACTCTCACTGTTGTTGTTGTTTTCATCCTGATCGTCAATGATGTCGGAGTATTCGTCTTGGTCTTCATCGATAATGTCTTCTTCTTCCTCATCATCAGATTCAGGCACTACACTGGTATTATCAACTTTTTCAGTTGCTAGAATTTCAAGATCAAGTTGTTGGACAGGTGTCTCTTTTTCTTCATCTTCCACCTCCATCTTCTCCACTTGGTCCAGTTGATCTTCTTCCTCCTCTTCTAAATCCTCATCATCGTCCAGATCTAGAGCTTGATCGTCCTGGTCAGTTTTGACAAACTCATATTGGACATGAGTTTCGGTCGTTTCAGTTTTTTCTTCATCTGATTCTTCATCAACAGGGAGATCTTCATCTTCCATCTTCTCCTCTTCAGCTTTGTCTTCAGGTTTGGTCTCATCTTCCTCCTCTTCCTCCTCAACTTTTACTGTATCTTCTTCAGTTTTGGTTTCCTCTGCCTCCTCTTTCTCTTCTACGGCATCTTCTTCAGTTTTTGTCTCCTCCTCCGCTTCCTTCTTCTCCACCTCCTCTTCCTCCTCCTCTACTACATCTTCTTTAGTTTCGGTTTCCTCCTCCTCTTCCTCCTCTTCTACAGCAACTTCTTCAGTTTCTGTCTCCTTCTCCTCTTCCTCCTCTTCCTCCTCTTCTACAGCAACTTCTTCAGTTTCTGTCTCCTTCTCCTCTTCCTCCTCTTCCTCCTCTTCTACAGCAACTTCTTCAGTTTCTGTCTCCTTCTCCTCTTCCTCCTCCTCTTCTACAGCAACTTCTTCAGTTTCTGTCTCCTTCTCCTCTTCCTCCTCTTCCTCCTCTTCTACAGCAACTTCTTCAGTTTCTGTCTCCTTCTCCTCTTCCTCCTCCTCTTCTACAACAACTTCTTCAGTTTCTGTCTCCTTCTCCTCTTCCTCCTCCTCTTCTACAGCAACTTCTTCAGTTTCTGTCTCCTTCTCCTCTTCCTCCTCTTCCTCCTCTTCTACTGCATCTTCTTCAGATGTTGCCTCCCCCTCTTCCTTCTTTTCTTCCTCAAGATCTGCCGATTTGGTATCCTCCTCTTCTGTTACTGCCTCTTCCTCTGTTCGAGTTTCCTCCTCATCCTCCTCATCCTCCTCATCCTCCTCATCCTCCTCCTCTATCAAATCTTCAGTTTTGGTCTCCACTTCTTTGACTGATTCTTCTTGAGCTTCAGTCTCCTCTTCCTCTGGCTTCAATTCTTCCACATCTTCTTCAGTTTTTGGCTCCACCTCTTCTTCTTCTTTTTCTTCTTCTTCTTCTTCTATCTCTGTTTTTAATTCCTCTTTCCCTTCTGTAGCAACACCTTCATCATCTTTTATCTCCTCCTCCTCCTCCTCCTCTTCATGTGCTACAACCTCCTCTGCTTTAATCTCCTCTTCCTCAGCATCAGCCTCTTCTGCCTCATCTTCTGGAGAAGGTTCATGTTCAGTCTCTTCAAGGTGGACGTGTTTCACTAGTGACGTGATAGTGACCATTTTAGTGCCTGTTATCAATCTTGTATCTGACTAACAAATGTGTCAATTAAAGAATAAACGTATGCATACCATCATCTTCCTCTGCCTCTTTCCCATCTGCTTCCCTGGCAGATTCAGTGGGAACTTCAGCCTCTTCAATCTGTGAGTCCTGGGCTTCAGCTAACTCTGCAGCAGCAGCAGCAGCAGCAGCAGCTTCATCTTTGGCAGCTTTCATGATCTCTGCAACTGTATCATCATCACATGTGATCTGTCTAATCTGACCTTTACGTCTTTACATGGAAATGCAGCTCCAAAAGGATTTACAGGTAAAGAACAATTGGATGGGGAGAAATGGGAACAATGATCATTCACACAAAACATGCCTTGGAGTTCTAAGCTAACAATGCTTCATCTCTTATTACTTTCATACATTTGTACTGAATATGCAGATATTTATTTAAAGCATCATTTTTGCTTGACTTAAACAGCAGTACATCGTTTATTTGACGGGGACTATTTTCTGCGGCAATTGTCTTGCTATAGTAAAAGTTTACGACAGCAGAACAAAGAACAAACAATCCACCTACATACACATGCGTACAACTTCAAAAGATACATATTAAAGACATGTTTTTATGCTCAATGCAACATAGAAATACAAATGTTTTACGCACAACAGAAAACATGATGACTGGAACAAAAGCAACTTGATAGCAAAAGACGTGAACGCATAGTTCCATGAAATGTTACACACAGCAAACATTTAGTGTTACAAAGGGAGAGATGCAGTCGCCGAATACTAATTGATATTATATATTTATTCAAATGAAGGTATACAGTGGTCATGATGCGTATTTGTTTAGATGCAAAATGAGGTTTATTCAAGCTAAATTAACATTACATTTCCTCTTACTTTAGGCTTATTGTCTTATACTTAACACGTCATGAATCAAGTTTAGATCAGTTCATTCCAAGAAAACCAAATGTAATGCAAACATGCATCGAGTGCAACTGACAACATATATATTAAACCCAAATAAACATTATTGTGGTTTTGCACAATATATTCTGTATATGGTGTTGATTTGTTACCTTTCTCAATAGGTGGCAGAAATTCTCCTGCGATTAAAAAAAACCATTTGGTTATGAAAGACAGCTAACCTTTTTTTATATAAACAAAGAAATGTTATGTGACAGCAAGACAAACGAAAAAACTACATTTGTATTACGTACCTTTCCTATGTACCAGAGTTATATCAGAGAGGGGAGACACAGTTTCATCTAAACAAAGACAAGAAACAGATATGTTGTGCAAATGGTTTGAAATATGAAGTATTATGCTTGTAAGATGCTTTTAGATCAAACTGAAATAAAAAGTGAAACCTTTAACAGCTGGTGTGGCAGCAGGTTCACCTAAAACAGGAGAAAAACAGGTATCACATTATGCACCACTTCATTTTTAAGTATGTGTATTTATAAAGTACACAAGTAGAGTATATAACTTATGCAAAGAAGCATACCTTGATCCCTAACAAGCATGCTTGACATGTAAGCCACAAACACTTCTTTCTTGTCTGAGAACTCCAACACAGCATCTTCTATGACTTTCATAGGATCAACGGACACTTCTGGAAGGATCCCTGAAACATCAGTAAAGCTGCCGTTAATAAAACACATTGTACAAAATAAATCATACAATTGTTAGCTATTTCTTCTATTACCATACTTACTGATCTTTGTATAAATAACCCGCAAAAGCAAACACAGTGACACCAGCAACAGTATTGTAATGTAGCAGATTCGTATTCAAACATACAGACCTTGGTCACCAAACATCATTGTGGAGACGTAGTTCACGAGCATCTCTATCTGCTCTTTGGTGATTTCTGCTGTTCTCTTCACAGCTGACATGGGGCTGAATCCCATAGCATCCTGGACGCCTGATGAGCAAAACAGGGGAACGCTTCAGTTAACAGGCTACAGTAAAGTATACATGGTTGTGGTAAACATTTGAACAGTAGATTAGGGAAAAGGTTCAAATACTCTACCTTGTATTGTGTCCAGTATCACATCCAAGATGGCACCGAGCACATCCTGGATGTATCCTGATATTTTACTCAGAATGTCATTAGCAACACTGAAGGCATTTCTACCAATAACCACAGGGTCAATGTAGCTAAGGTCAGTGGTTCCTGAGAAGAACAAACCAACACTCCAATGAGTTACTTCATTCTACACAGACATTTTAAAAGACAGGTAAAAATCATTTGATCAAGTTAAAACACAGAAACAAAAGTACTGTTACCCATGAAAAACACAAGCTAAGCTATTGAATAATATTGTTATTTAGTCACACATTTAGGCAACAAATATAGACATGCTATGTTTTGTATTGCACCACAAACATTGTAAAGAAGTAGTTACCTTTTGTTACATCCAGTACACTGTCTACGATGGTGCAAAGCATCTCCTGGATGTAGCCCACTACACCATTAACGCTTTCATTTGTAGCACTGAAGATATTTCTGCCCACCAACACAGGGTCCATGAAGCTAAGATCTACAGTTCCTGGGAAGATAAGGACATGTAATGTGTTAAATAGTAATTGCAGGATTCAAAGAGGTTAAATAATAAAGAAACGTTAAGAGGGAAGAGTAAATACCTTTCACTACATCCAAAATTGTGTCCAAAATGGCACAGAACACACCCTGGATGTAGCCCCCCACTCCACATATAAAGTCATTAGTAACACTGAAGAATCCTCGGCCTGTGACCACCGGGTCGATGTAGCTGATGTCAACTTCTCCTGGGAAACATAGGAGGGAAAATTATTTTATGACCACACTATCCCAAAATATATGCCAAAAATGATTTCCTTTTACTTTGTGTTACTCTCTTGTAAATAAAAAAGAAAAGGAAAGCAGACACTTTCTCTAGTCAGAAATAAGCATTAATTATTGAATACATACCTTTATTTATACCCAATATAGTATCCAATATGGTGTCCACTATCGCACACAGTGTGTCTCTGAAGGTGCCCGCAACTCCACACATGAAATCATTAGTTGAATGGAAAGCTTGTCTACCGAAGACCACCGGGTCCACATAGCTGAGGTAGAAGTTCCCTGTTGGTTTAGAAGGTGGATTGTTAGAGTCGTGCTTACGTCACATTTAATTCATTTTTTGCTGTTGTTGAGTAGAGTGAGTGTTATGTGTTTTCATACCTTCTTCATCTGAAAAATAGCGAACAAATCCATCTTTTGCTTCCGATATCTCCTCAGCTGCGTAGGTGGCAGCGGAAGTGGGGTCACTGAAATCAGGTGCACATTCTGGGGACCCAGAGATACGATTTATATATTACAACATTTGAAATAGCAATGATTTTTAAAATCTTATTGTTCTTTGATTATCAAGAGAGAGGTATGTTTCTTTTATCTTGTTTTCCATTCATAGTTGAATTATATCCATATGTTAATGTTTATGATAAGTTTGTTGTTAAGCCCCGAGCCTGTTTTTCAGGTCTCAGGCTCGAAAATGACATTCCCAGAACACATTTTTTTTATTTATTTATTAATCCCCGTGGGGAAATTGTTTCTCTGCATTTGACCCATCCTAGTGTTAGGAGCAGTGTGCTGCCATTTTGAACAGCGCCCGGGGAGCAGTGTAAGGAACGGTGCCTTGCTCAAGGACACCTCGGTACCACTTGGTCTTGCCGGGACTTGAACTGGTGACCTTCCAGTTGCCAAGCCAAGTCCCAATCGACTTCGCCACCACCGCCCCCACAAATGACCATATCTTCCCTTCTAAAAGGGTTAAATTAATAATCTTTTTTCTCAAAGCAAGTTTACACCTGTGAGTTGGATGTAGAAGTGTCAGAATCAATATAGATGTAAATTCAGATTGAACACAGTAAAACATTTTTAATTATTGTGTCCGTCCAAAAAAAAAAATTACTTATAGTGAAAACCACCCTTGAATGATGGGATGGTAGACTAAAAGCTTTAGGAATCCAAACTACAACAGATAATAAGTACCCTGTATCAAGATTGATGCAAAACAAGTGAAATTTGACCTTTTTAGAGAGATTTAGCAAAAAAAAAAACCACTTCTGGGGCCATTTGGGTGGATTTGACCTATCTCTGGCCCCCCTTGCTCGATTTTGCTGATTGACATCTCTTTGTAACCGTCAGAGCCAATGGAATCGAGGGGAATTCCCACATACTCTTTATTTGGTAATGTGTGTGTGTGAGACTGACGCATAGCCAAAACCGGAAGCTGCGATAACTCTGGTGACTACCATTAGCAGCTAACTTTTACTCTCCGATTTTTACATAAAAATTGAATTATGGATTATAAATTTTTAAAACATATTCCACAGAAACATTATCAACCTATGGATTAACCGATTCAGCTGCGTTTTTTCTCGTTTTAATGCCATTGAACAAGTCTTTTGATCAGATTGACAGCTACGATGAGACGATCTCCAGTAAAAGCTACGTAAAGGTACGTATTGTGATGTCTGTGTTTGCTTCCACAGCAAGTGTCGCGAGTTCGGATCACTCAGTGATGATATATATACCTAAATAATCTGTGGAACCTCAGCTTTAATCGGATATCTTGTATACGATAAGTAATAAGGGTATCTTTTATCTTGAGTTCTGTGCCAAAGTGCGTTAGCATTTTTCGCTCAGGGGTCATTTAGATGCTTCTTATGAGACTTGTGTTTTGTTTTGGTAAAAATGGTTTGTATCGTCAGTTAGCTGAGATTATTCCCGTTAATCTGGTATAACACATTAATAGGTTCTTAAATATTAAGATCCCCTGAGACACAGTGTCGTGAAAAAAAAAAAAGGACCCGCCAAGGGGGTCCTTGGGGCTTAACAGGTTAAATGTTAAGCACTTGATGCATTCATTGTGCAATCTACATAAAGTCTATAATGGTCATGATTATTTAAACGATGTGTGTCTTTCTTATGTACCTTGAAACTTATTGAACAGACTGGTTACTTCGTCAACAGCGTCGTTTACAGCTTGCACAGGGTCCGACACGATTTGTTGAATGTCTGAGAGGAGTAACAGAATGATTGATATTTATGCATATTTGATGATTGAAACCCTGTACAGATAAATATATGTAAGTATTTGTGACTTACCAGGGACTGCCTTGTACTCCACAAAGTCAAACATCACCACTCCCACCACCCCCCAGGACAGGAGGGCCGCCAGGGCGATGAGCAGCTCCGCCGACACTTTGAGCTTCCCGAGGATCCCGAGCCCTCTGGGCCTCTGAGCTGCAGCGGCTCCATTCGAGGCGCCTTCATGTGAGAAAAACAAAAAGATGATGTTCCAGTTGTGGTTCAGCCTTTGCTGCTAGATCTTTATTCATGTATTTTTTCTTTTAATGTTTCTTTTATTATCTTTGCTTTTTAATGACTGTTTTTCAATGCCATTTTCTTAATGTCTTTGAATTGCCTTGTGTTGAAAGGTGCTATATAAATAAACTTGCCTTGCCTTGTCTAGATCTGACTGACGCTTCTCTTACACTGGAAGTTGTATTAGAATATGTATCCATTTATCTTTTATATTTGGTTTGTCCTTTTACAGTCAGACCCAACTATAACTGTATAGGACAAACATACAAAGGGCATGCAGATTAACAATGATCATAATGTGTATGTAGGCCCTACTAGAGCAAGACCAATAAACAAGGGACAAATATTGGTCAAAATGCAGAAATATGTGCATGTGGGCAGAGAAATACCAAAGATATGTCTTACATTTTATTTCAGAGATCCGTGACACGTTCATTTTCACTGAGAAAGCAATCTAAACTGCTCCATGAAGAACTTATTTTATTTATATAATCTAATATAGGATCAGTGAAAAAAGCAAAGAAAGAGAAGTTTGTTTCTCATGTGAAGAAAACAAAACAAACCGGTTCAGCTCAACATGACATGTTCATGTAGAGCCACATCGATCATACAGTAGTTACATTTAAATACTGTATAAGTCTCTAGGGCCTTCAATTGAGAATGTGGTTCAGTAATGCATAAACAATGGTATATAAACATCTTGGGGGAAGAAACTTGTCTGTAATTAGCAGAAATTCCTGATAACAATCTAGATATTATTTTACAACAAAGTAAACATATCCACTGGCTTGATAAATCTAAGATTCTCCCATTCATGTAATGCTAGCAACACATTTGAACTTTAACACATAAGTATGGTTCAGTCTAATTACATTACTGTGGTTTGTTTGGGAGACTAATCTCCTTTAATAGAGTCTCATCACCTACACACTGCAGCTAAGCCGTAACAGGTGAAGGTGATTTTCGTTTGTGATCAAAGGATTGAAACTTTAGAAGATGAAGACAGTCTGATCTTGGTACAGTATTTATCAAAAGACATGATAAACACATCTTGTTAGATTAAAAAACAGAAAAGAAAGGAATCTTCTGTATTTTCCGTGTCATCAGCTTATTCAAACATATATGATTCCCAGCTACTGAGTCCAGTGGAACATTTTTGTGATGGCATTTAATGACATCCTCACCCTTATCAACACTGACGCACATTCAGACATGGATCAGGTGTCAAAGTGTGAAAAGACACCTTGTTTCGGTGAATGAACTCTGAGCGTGCTCAACTTATGATTCACTTCCTCGTGTAAAAATGCTGAGATGTGAACTCAAAACTCAAAACAGTCCCTTCAGAGTTTCTCAGGATGGACAGGTGGTGTCAGTATTTCACCACAAACGCACTGATTCTAAAAGGAAAACTGCTTGTTATTGTTCAAATCATTACAAGGCCTTACGCTTCATCAAACCACAGAAAACACAACTTGTGTGAGTAGATTGCCTACAAAGTGGACTTGTTTTTTAAATGGCAAAAAGAAAGTTGAAGACAGAGGTCAGTGGCAGCAGCAGTCATGTCTGTCACTGGAGAGCAACGCTAATACTCCAGCCACATGATATCCTGTATTTATAGCAACCAACTTTCAACACATTTTCCAAAGAGGACAAACCATCGAAAGACTTCCATTTGTTTATATAATGGCATAAATCATTTAGACTTTCTGTGCTGTAGCAAAAAAGGGCTGTGGTTAATTTCAGTGCTGACGCAGAGGGAACACTCCTACCTTGAGCCATGATGATATGCAGACAATTTCAGCTATAATCCTTTAAATTGAGGGCAACGCCTCCTCATGCAGAAGTGAATGGAAAATCACAGCTTCAGTATACAATCCAATCAGCATCTGTTTATGTGTAAAAAGTGTCCAAGTTATTCAATTATTCCATTTCCACTTGGTGATCTCTGTCTTGTTTCCTGGCCGGTGTAATCCAAAGGTTAAACTTCTCGAAGATTGAAAAAAGGAAAATCAAGCCTGAATTTAAGATTTACAGGTGTTGCGATGTTGGAGCTGCCGGTGTGGCAGCATTGCAGAGGGGGGTCTGGGGCGAAGGAGAGATATGCAGGGGGAAGGAAAGAGTCCAGCTAAGCAAAGGGCTGGGTATGGAGAAGGGGGAACAGACAGAATATCCCCCCCTGTGTTATTGGTGCCTCACATGGGTATAGGTCAGATCACAGCACAGGGGGGCTTCAAGGTAACTTTATCCCCCAGAAGGCCGGGTTATTCTTAGCTGGAGCTCGGCGACCCAGCCGCTCTGGCAGGCCTTTTTGGGCGGTTGAAGGGGGGTGTGTGAGATCAGTGGGCTGAATTGGGCACCCCTACTGGTGGGCCACCTCAATCTGCCCACTGAACTGGAACAAATCAGGGGCTCAAGGTGAGAAATTAACGTTTCCCTGACTAGCAGCAGCACACTTTGTTGTTCCCAAAATGTTTTGTCTTTTTCACAGGGTTTCAATATTCACTTTCTTTTTTGTCCTCACATTTGGTCATACATTAAGGGCCAGCTTGTAAACATGTGTTTCCAAAATGTTAAACTATTTCACTACTGAACTAAAACCCCAAAACAATCAAATGTATCTTTGTAAGTATTTTTCAAAAGGCCACACATGCTGTTCAATTAGGTTGTAAACATAGTCAGAAAAAAACGCAACATCTTCTAAAGCTCATTTACATGTTTTGTCTTTTCTTTATTATGTTAATAATTTCAACTGTATGAACTATTCCATCTTTTTTTAAATCTGTGTGCATGTTGGTTCTCATTAATTTATTATAAATGTAAATCACATTGTTGCTTTTTTTGAAAGTTCAAGTTATAAATAAATACGATATCATTATTAGTTTAGCAGGTTAACATGCACACATTTGCTTATTATCAATAAAGACAAAGTAGAGTTGAGGCTGATGGAAAATCAGTGTGCATATTAAACAAATACATTTTAGTCACCTGAAGATGGTGCTAAGTTAAAAGTGAAGGGATCATCAAAGCTACTCATGTTTGTGTGTACCAAATTGCATGACAATCCATGCATTGGATAAATGGGCAGCGGGATATTAAGAGGATCACCACCAGAGGGATTCATCCTGTGGGCAGTGCTTGAATTGGAATAAAAAAGGTGCCAGTACTCTAAATCAGCAACTGTTTCAAGTCAATTTGATTTATACAGCCCAAAAACAAGAATTAGGCTCAAAGGTCTTTACAATCTGTACAACATACGACTCCCTCTATCCTTATCCTCATATCTTTGATTCAGTAATTAAAAAGAAACACAAAAAAACTTTAACAGACATGGAAATGTTTTTACTGTAACGTTCAGAAATTGCATGTTTTCCCACGACTAATCAGGGAGGTGTCCGGGGCTCTCAGAGAGAACATGACGTAGCCTATACATGTGCCTGCATCAGGTCATATGGTATATCCTATAATGCTGGTGGGTTTGTCTCTTTACTGTATATTTTAGAAAGGCTCACTGTACTGAAAAAAAGTATGAAAGGCTGGTTAAATGACTCCTCGTCTCGGAGTACACTCATGCATCTTTCAGCAGGAAAGGAGAGAGGGAATCAATGGAGCTGCCAGGGAGGACACAGGGGAATAAACGCAACAAATATGCCTAGATGCGTCATGAGGTGCCGGCACGCAATAAGAAGTAACAGTACGCAGATGGGTACAAATCAGAAGTCCCGGTACTGCGTACCGGTGAGTACCGGGCCAATTCAAGCACTGCCTGTGGGGAACAAAAAACAGGACATTTATCCCTAACTGTTAAGATAATTGAGTGGTAAACGTGTTGTGTGGTAAAACAGTCCAAACACTTTATTGAAACATCTGTACATTGGATAGAACATGAATTGTTTCTTACAGGATATACAGGAGGTGTACATTACTGCAATTAAAATGAGCTACACACAAGTCATCAACACAGTAATGATCACAGGTGTGTGTTGACAGTGGAGCTGCAGCTGGGGGTCACGGGCCTGATGATGAGGGTGAGCTCCAGCGGGACCGGAGGAGGAATGTATCTCTCCTCCCTCAGCAGCCGCAGTAACAGATCCTCAGTGTCCCGCGGCCAGCGGTAAACACGCGTGTTCTGAAGCCAACATGGGACGTGCTTCTGTAAGGAGAGTGCATATCATGTTTTTCAGTAGTACAGAGAGAAATTGTGTATATATGGAGTAACTGCAAACAAACACATTCTGACCTGGGAAGCATTTGGGAAGAGAAGCGGTATGAATCTGAAATTCAAGCTGCCTTGTTGGATGAATTCATTCTGCATCTGAAAAATTAGATTAAGTGTTAAAGAATCTATTCACAATTATAATCAGCATGATGTCTCACTGAACAAGGAGATGTTCTCACCATGGAGTGAACATATTTAGTGTGTAGACCATGGTTGTCCACTACATATCCTTCAATGTCCTCCTTATACTTTTGACTGATGGCGACGATAACCAGGGTTGATGGCTGTTTAAAAACACACACATTTTAGACACATTCACGGCCTGAAACATGCTAAAAAAATCTCACAGATGTCGTCTTATAAGTCATAACTTCTGACAGTTTTATACAAATACAAGCAAGCAATACAAATGCTTAATCCTTACATCTTTCAGGTAACTGTCCTTCCACTTGTTGATATCCAAGCGTCTGATTGGGTTGTCAAATATGTCAATCTGTGGAATTAAATTCAGGGCTGTGAGTTAACTGTTGAGTTTTTATTTTTATTTAAATCTGACCTGTGTGGAAAGGAAGTATCTTACAGCTGGTCTGAAACCTTGCTTTGTGAGGAAGTCTACGAAGGGGACTATTTCTGAGGAAATGTCCGAAGAATAGGTTATTAAAATGTTTCCTGTGAAGAGAAGAAAGAATAAACAAATTAATATTTTTCTAGTTTCTAGTGTTAAATATGTTAAACATTTTATTCTGATCACTTTAGATGGTGTTCTTTGTTACTGTGGTAATATACTGATTTACTGTATTACCCTTTAATGTATGCAACATAACCATGACATTGAATAAATACCTCTGCAACTGTGAACAACAACTCACATTTAGACATTTTCTCTAAAATAGAAATAACAATGAAAATGGTTCATCTCGACTTTTTTAAATGTACACTTTTAATTGTGTTGTGTGAAAATAATTCAGAATGTCTTCATGATGAGTGAAGCACAATTAGAATCAACATTTTAAACCTTGTTCTTATTATGCTAACCTCCTGCTTAAACAGCAGAGGTAACAATTAGTGTATCCTTTATAGCAGTGGTAACCAACCTTTTCAAGCCCAAGATCACTTTTTATTCCAAAATGTAAACCGAGATCTACCAATCCGATATCTTCCAAAAAAAACACTTAGGAGTAAGACTATTCATCGTCATATTTATTTTTGAAATCAATTTATGTTACAACAGGCTCAATGTACGTGTAAAGATGCACACAAAGAAAGACACAGTTATGCACAGTTATCCGTTCAATACAAACTATTAATATTTACAGTATCTGTTCACACTATATTTAGTTTCTCAGTTCAATTAGTAGTATTCACATGTACAGATATTAGCCTACAGTTCATCCATATTAAGTTTCTCTGTTCAATGCACAATATATTTCCAATGCTCAAGTTACTCCATCAGCCTGCCTTTAATGAGACTGCTGTGACTGCACATTATCTGTAAGCCTTTTGAAATCTGGCTGATAGTTAGTGATTGCCAGCCGGAGGCAGTCAGTAAGATGTGTGTCAGTCATACGAGTTCTATACTTGGATTTAATTATTTTCATTTGTGAAAAGGCCATTTCACATAAGTATGTGGAGCCAACGTAGGCCTTCAGTTTAAGCGCACATGACACAATCAGTGGATACCTCTCTCTGCTCACGAGTGACCAAAAGTCCTGATCTCTTGCTCTGGCCTTCAATTCAATGTCGCTTTGCATTTCAATGATCTCTATGTCAACACCCATAGGTTGATTGATTGATTGAAAAGTTTATTAACAGCTTGTATATTGGGTACAGTACAGTACAGCTCAAAACATACAATTGTTAAGGGGATGCAGACCAGAGAAAGACTTTCGTCTTGTTTACATCAGGGTCCCCCATTTCCAATTCATCATATCATTTAAGACATATTTGACATACAGATGGCTTATTTACAATTTACATACAGGTGGTTTTTTTACATACAGATTGCTTATTTACAATTTTCATTTTAGATTTCGTTCAAATACATCCTAACCGGACATTTAAGACATACCAAGTCTACAGATACACAGTTAGTAACAGAGTCTAAAATGCGAGTATATACATAGATGGGGGGGGGGGGAAGCTGTCCATTGAACGACAGGTTGAGATTTGTACCATTACCGGGGCCAGTTTTGCAATGCTCTCCCCCGAAGGTGCTCTTTAAGAGAGGTTTTGAAGGTAAGTATAGTTTTACTTTCCTTTACAGTTGTGGGAAGAGCGTTCCACCTTGATGTGGCATAATTGCGAAACGTGTATTCCCCCTTTTTTGTGCCAAATCTGGGTTTCACATGATTTGTGGAGCTCCCTCTGGTGTTATGATCATGGTATTCCTTGACCTTTGGGAAGAATTTTGACATGTACATGGGTACCATAGGGGTGTAGTGGATCTTGTAGACCAGGCCCATTGCAAGTAGCTGTACTCTGTCGTCTACTCTAAGCCATCCTAGGTTGTCAAAGTGGGCAGAGGTGAGGTGGGTTCTAGATGAAAGGTCAAGCAGTAGTCTGACCAGTTTATTTTGCGATGTTTGAAGTTTTATTTTTAGCGCCTTGGAGGTGCTATGGTACCATGACGTGCAAGCATAGTCATAGTACCCTTGAATGAGTGCTCCTGCCAGAGTTTTCAGGGTGTTTTTGTTTACCAGAGAGGAGATCCGGTATAGGAATCTAGTTCTTTGATTGACTTTTTTTATTACATTGGATGCCATTTTGTCACAGGAGAGGTTTGCCTCAAGAATAGATCCTAGGTATGTAATTTCCTTCTTACTTGTGACAATAATGTCACCCACTGCAACTGAGAAGTCGTCGGA